GATTACCAACTCGCCTGATGGCCACAGGTTTCTCGCTTATTCCCACTCATCCCTCATTCCTATATTATTACGAACACCGAGCCAAAGTACCGCCATCCGAACGACTGACCCTGGGCCGATGACAGCTCACATCTCGTCCGCTTGTCGGTGAAGGTCCTTGCTCGATCTTCTCACATGTCACATAGACTTTGCCTTTCCGCGCACTCACACACTTTGAAAAGGACCTGACCCCCAGCAAACCTATGGCGAGTGCACAGCAAATGTCCCACTTGCACACTGTCTCCAACATGCACCCAGAAAATCTGGCAGCTGCTAGAAGGTCCTGAGGCGACCCCGCCCTCGCCGTGACGGGGCGGGCGGGGCGGGCGGGCGGCGATGTCACAGTCTCCATGAGGACCACCCTGAGAGCCGACTGCCTCCGGCCCGTCCCCGAAAAGCATGACCGCACCGCGCATGGAATATAGTCAAAGCTACGGCCTGGCACCCACTACTTACGGATCAACGCACTACTCTCACGAACCGGGCCTTCCCGCAGCGACAATCGCTTCCCGAGAAAGTGTGGCAGGGCCCCGTCTCTTCCGCCCCCCTTGACCGGGGGTTTGGCCCGCAGGAAGAAGAGAGGACGTTCTCTGCGGATTGGACGATGAGAGGATGATCCATTTTCGACTGCTTGGTGTGCGTAGCCGAGCCGGGCGCTGTATCACCCAGCCATGCAAGGCGAGCAGATCACCAACGGTCATGTTGGATCACCTCCTCGAACCAAAAACTTCGCCGAGGACCGGGTGCTGGGATTTGCATCTTTGCGGGAAGTCCATTTTCTTTTTTCTTCTTTCCTGCCGGGTATGGTTTCCGGAGGCTGGACGACGTTACTGCAAGGCGAGTCGTAGAGTTGCGTCCGCTCGCTGCGTCGGAGACCCCCCATGTGGAAGTCCACATTGTCGGTCAAGACTCTAACCCGACTCACCGATTCGAGAAGCAGGGGGATTCCCGGACTTGCTTCCGGTGCACTGCAATTTTTTTGGCTTGGCTGGCTGGCTAGCCCGCTGGCCCGCTGGCGCCGCCGCCGCCGGCGCGAAGAAGTAAAGCTCTATCTCAAACCCATGCCATTCCGACCTTGCATGACAACTTCTACACCGAGGGCGTGATGGAAGTGGACGGGCATCTTAAGCGGCATCCATGTGGTGTATTCCCATTCGGCCGGATCGCGGGAGGATGTCCTTCGAGACATACCTGGATAGAAGTCACAGGATTCTCAGCCAATGCTTCTCCGGATGGCGTTTTCGCTGCCGAGTCCTATCTATATTGCGTTTTGGTCGCATCATAGATGCGTGTAGCGATTCATTGCCATGCTTTACCTGTAAAGCAAGGTTTCCGGGGCAAAAATCTCAGGTTCCCTTCCTGCCAGGGTATGAAATGCTTCCCTTTCCTTCTAATCCCCCCCTTTTCCCCCCCATAACTTGAAAGCCGTTTGCGATAAGAGAAGCAAGCTGGGCCCGTTTTCCCAAATCACCCCAGACAAGCATGTAGTACACCGACCCCCTTCACCGCCACTATCCGGCCATGCAGGCTGATAAAACACCCCCAGCTCCAAGAGCCGAGCCCACGAACAACAACCCCGGCACGGTACTAGCACGGTACCGGGTTACCGTGCTGCGGAGAGTCCACACAAAAGTCTACTTCCCCCATCTCGGCGTAGCTAGCCGAATGCAGGCGGGAATCTTGGGAAAGGAAGGCAGGGAGAGTGTAACAACAAAATGGGAGGGCACCGCGGAACCAACTTCCTTGTGGGCCTCCCGTGTACAAGAACTGCAACTACTTCCATGGGAACCCGTTTCTGGTTTCCATCGTACGCTTACCTCTCCTCTTGCACCATTTCCTTACCTCCATTTCCTACACCAGGTGCTTCACACGCCCCAATCAGCCGTTCTTCCGCCACGGGGAACTGCCAGCGACTATAAGCACCGCATGAGGCAGGGTTTCGTGTGATTCGGCGACTGACTGGATGCTGTCGTGTTGTCGGAAAAGACCAATCGCGCCCCCTGGCTTGTCCAACGTCTTGCTTGGCCGCACCTTTTTTTCTCGTCGCACCGCAGTCTTTGGACCAGACGGTAGAATAGGAAAGGGCAGCAAGAGGAAACCCGTCTACCAGTCTGGTGGGAGTGTAAGATACGACCAAGGTCCCGGATCCGTGAACGTGGGTTTCGTCTTCTTTGACGGCTTGTATCGGCAGGCAGGTGTGTTTGTGTGTCCTCGTTTATAGGTGTGTAAGCCATTGAACATGATGTTTTTATTAAATGGCTATGCTGTGCGACGGTGGACTCGCCTCGATCGACAGATTCCGAGTCAATGTGACCCGGGAGCTCGCATCCACGCACCTCCCTCGTGATATCGCGCGTCAGGGCCTAGGATGTGGCAATCGTCACGATTCGATGGTTTGATGAGTTATATCTTCCTCCAGTAATCTGCAGGCGTTACTCGGCGCAGATTCGAAAAGGGCCAACGGGCTGGGCTTTGTCCGTCTCACGTAGGTTGTTCGAGGACATTGCTCGCGTGCTCCCCCCCTCAAGAGGTTCTGATGGAAAGAATTGGTCTGCGGTGAGATTTTCTCCTCGAAGCTAAGAGTCTGATGCTACCTTGCCGGTCGGTTCAGTTTGGTAGGGGCATGTGTCTTCAAATTCCGGAAGTTGCAGCCGCTATCCTATTAGGCTCCGTCTCTCTCTCTCCCTCTCTGTCCCTCTCTCCATCGGCAGCTTGTCGTGGTGTATGCCAACGGGCGTTGGAGAAGCTGCCGTCGGAGAATGATCTCTGCGATATCGAAGAAAGTACCTAGGAGGGCTCAGAACTAGGTAGGGCGGGTATCTTGACATAATACGGGGGTTACCCGGAGGGGTGTTCAGGCTGGATGGCGGTTTGCCCAATCTGATGACAAGTCGTTGTGATATGCTCTTTATCGCACTTCCCTTCCCCCTACTTTACCATCCTTGCTTGGGCTACCTAGCTGCGTCTCCAAAAAGATGTGCGTAATGGAAGTTGGAACAAGCCCGAAAGCTACGACTAACAACAACAACCCCTCCCGACATTGCAAGTCATTTTGATAACTTGCTGAACAAGACCGGAATTCAGAAGAACAAAACGAAAGCCGGCCCCTCCCTTCCTTGGCTTCAATTCCTGTTCAAAACCCCTTGGCGCCTGTAGTTCCCAGCTTAATAACTAGGAAACGAAAGTAACAGACCTCGGTAACATAAAGGTGACATTGCAGCCACCCGCTTTCGCCTCAACCCCTGGATGAAGGGGCCCTGGCAAGCCTGGGAAGGGTGGCTGGCTGTCAAGATCGTTCCTCGGTCCGGCGATGGACACCTCTCTCGATGCAGAACATCTCACATACGGACGGGCATTAAAGCAAGGAAGACGAAGAAGAAAAAGAAAGAAGCAATGCCACTGTCTCAGATTGTGCGCCTGATGGGCATCACCGCCCTTTCTCTCCCTGCCAGGATTTTCTTTTTTTTTTTTCCTCCCCACCTGTCTGTGCTTGTGTAGGGTATGCGGGCGCGCATCTACTATCCGGGAATCACTTTGCGACCGATTCGTGTCACCTCAAATGCTGTGACAGCTCCAACGCAAACCGCCTTGGCTGTGTTACACAGCAGCGGCAGCTACCAACGGCGGTGGATGGTTGTTACTTGCAGAAATTCACAAAAACAAAAACAAAAACAGGAAATAAAAAAAGACAAGAAGACTTCACCATGACTGAGTCAGAGCGTCATCAGACCCAACTCGTGCTTCGAGGGGTTTTTTTTTCTTTCTCACACGCCCCATTCGAGTTCATCCCATGCCGTGCACCCATCTCAAAACAGGTACCCATCGTGAAGTCGGAACATTGGACCCTGAAGCCGACCTTTCCGGAGGTGAAAGCTGTCATCTCGTCGTCGGTTGTTGACGGAAAGGCAGCCGGTAGGAGAACAGGGGGTTCACTGGAGTTAATCCCCGACTATCGATAATACGACCTTACTTTGTGAGCGACGACAACAAAATACAAATACCAAAGATTGTTTCGATACGAAAGTGTAAATGAGAACACGGAACTCAGCCACTAAAGCAGGCGAAACTGGGCTCTTAACCTTTGCGGGCCAGTTTGGCGGAAGTCTTGGTTCATCCTTGCTCGTACAGACAACCGACATCAATATATCAAACACGGCCTTTCACAGCCATGAGGGTCGCCCCATGCCATTGGGTGTGGCTGGTTAGCTCGCACGTAGGATGGACGGCCTGCTGACGATCGCGAAGGCCTAGACCGCAAGCTTGTCCGATCTACGGCGATCTCACCAATACTGTTCGGTTGCTGCATCAAACCCAGCATGTTGTAACGTAGGCGGCCCGTTTCCATGTCATGTGATGTGTGATGGTGTAACTGACGCAGATGGAAGTAACCGGGTCCGCCAGTGACAACATGATCAGGATCATCGACGCTCATGATGGGTGTCAAATCTAAGAATGCGCGCTCCTCGTATGGCACTGGTAGAGTTAGGACCTTGTTGCTGCGAATCATTCGCGGCCAACGATGTTACGTCGTTCTATTTGAGGCTCAAAAAGTAAATGTCACGATGTGGGGGACCAACGGCACTTTCGGTGTGCTAAGAAGTCCCACTTCCGAGAATTGCCTCCCCCCACGAGCCATGGTCCCCCAGACCCCAATCAAGGCAATTTGCATACGGGGTGCATATGCTGTGTTGAATGACGTCTCAGCCTTGTGACACCAGATAATCGCATGCTCCATCTCAACGTCATGAGCCTGCGGTGCGGCACATCCGTCCTCGATATGCACTATGTAAAAAATCAAGGCCTTGTCGACGATGAATACACTGACCACATGGAGGGACATGATGGGACGGACAAACACACAATGAAGCTGGAAGATGAGGTTGTGTTGGTGGTCACCATCATTGGCAGGAAAGCATCCTGGGCTACCGGAGACACCCTTGTCGGAGATACCAAAGTGTGGTCTAGACACTTGCAGAAGATGCTAGCGGTGATTCGGACGGCTTTTTGTTTCGCGGTTCAGCATGGTCATAGCAACCGGGTGAGAGGGCAAGCTGCATCCGTACCCAACTCAGCCCTCCTTGATCCGTCGAGCAAAGCTGGCGGACACCGGCAGGCTGACCTCCGCCTATTTGATGACACCGCCCGGTGGAGATGTTTTCGTATCCAGTGTTCATGCAAACGTGCCGGCCTGCAGTGCGCAGCTCGATGCCCATTGGTTACACGTAAATCGAATGACGGACAGTGGAGGCACACGATGTATTTGATATTGGAGCCGCGATGGAATCATAGGTAAATGCGATCTCGAGCTTTGTTTGACCTGAACAAGGCCAGAGTCCGCTCATGCCGGACGGGATTACGCAAGAGGGAACCTCAAGCGACGAGAGAGCCAAACCCTCACAGATGAGCTTCAGCTGTTGATGGCGTCGGGCCGCAGCCCGCTCGGGAAGCATACGCGTTCACCGACCGTCTGCATAAGGTAACCGATAGCGCTTCGTCGGTTCCAAATTGGGAACTTTCTTGTGCGGGCAAACGATGTATGAGACGCGATTGTATTTGCAGGCCAGTGTGAATAGCTGGAGGGTTGTTGGAGCAAGGAATGGCGCTGCTTGTCTCACCCGACTAATCATTGCGCGTCCAACGTCCATCGGACTGTTGCAAGAATCGGACGGTCGAAGTGAAACGGGTATTAAAAGCCTCGGCGACTTCCCAGCCGAACGGTCTGCGACAGCCGCAACTTACAGCGGCGTTGCAGATCCGTCACCATCCTCTTCCCTGCAGTGAGAAGGTCTACGTTCGGTTTATCCAGAGCTGACAAGCTCTTTGCCCAGTGGACGCCCTAGAAGTAGTCGTCGCATTTTTTGCTTGTCCGCGTGTGATAACTCAGATCTGGCCTCAGCGAATGGGAAACATGGAGAAGCGAAGATAGCCAATCCTGAACAGCTGTGTAATCAGAAGCCGTGAGCGCAACGGGAGCAGCGGCCAAGCGGACCTTGAGCGCAGGTGGCTCGAGCATGCTCGAGCCACGGGCAGAGCCGTCCAAGGTCATCGGTTGAACCTCGAGTCCACCGACCACGTCTAGATCGTATATAGTGTAGACAGAAACTAGAGACGAGGAGGAATCCTAAAGGTCGGGATCCTTGACGTTTCTCCGCAGCTTCTGGGCCTTCTGTTGGCGATTACGACTAATAGGAGGGTTCGAATTGGTTCTCGTTGGGGGCGTGGTGTACTCGTCAAATCCACCCATCCACTCGCGGACACTTTTGGCTCCAGTGGCCGCTCAGCATCCGGCCAATCCCAGAGTCCTTGTTCCATCCAGTGCCACAAAACGTTGGACAGTTCAGCCAAAGAGCAACGGCAACTACACCACCTCCAGAGCGATCCAAACAGCCGAGTCGCAGGGGTAGTCTGGCCTGTCTTTTGAGTTGGTGGGTGCCGGACCTGGACCTGCTTGTGCTTCTGGATGTGTCCAGGCGGGCAGGCACACTTGCTAGTCCGGTATATGCATGAGTACATGCACGCTGCGGCTGCAGTCACTGTGCCCTCACCTGCTAACGCAGCTGATGGTAGAGGCCAAGCGGTGAGAAGGGCCTGGATGCAAGCCGTTTGGTTGGGATTCCGACCATCCAAAATGCGCGGGCTGATATCAACCGCGACGACATCGCAAGGAGTGACGGCGGAGGTGAGGGCGACTCCAGGGGTTTCGGAAATCGAGTGACAAGGTCGTTGATTGCTCAATCTTCTTTGCAACATCCTTGACGGATGCTGACGTCGGATACGGGCTGGGGACCGGGACCGGAACCGGGCAAAAAAGAAAGAAGGAGGTTGCACCCAGTCATCGAGCGGCCGCGGATAGGAGAGGTTACACGTCGTCTATGTGAAGCTGATGTCGTGGGCTGTCGTGGCTGACAAGCGGGCGGTTTTGCGTCTAGGTGTCGGTGCGCATCTCGGCCGAGGACTATCCGTACTCCTGTACCGTACATGCCCGTTGCCCGTTGTCATGGTAGTGCAATGTCCAGAATCTAGAGGAATAAATAGGTTCTTGCTTGGCGTTTTGAGTGAGCAAGGCCGAAAACCTTGTCTGGTTTCCCCTGGTATTTGCCGTCTTTCGGCTCCTTGAACAGAGGCATCGCTCAATCCGAGCAGAGTGGAGTCGAGGAAGCAAGAAACATTCCACGGGTGTCGCATACAAAGAACGGAGGGCGTTGACACGGCAGCCAGAGTGAATCGAGAGGCCGACATGGCGTCGAGAAGTATGCTACTTAGCGAGTCGTTAGTTGAGGCGAAGTGACAGTCCGTCACTTGTTTAGCAAGAGGCGTAAGCCAGCCTTTGACCCAGACCACCTCGGACGGGTCAAAGTGGCCCGGCTAAATTGTTGGAAAGGAACCGTTTTTCAATGAAACCAGAGAGGAAACGCTGAATTGACGATGGGCACCTCAAACTTGAACGAACACCAGAACAGGGGACGAGGAGGAATAACAGTCCATGGAAGGAGACGGCGAAAGGAGGGGAGGTACAAGGCAAGCAAGGATTGGTCAAGGATTTGCCCTTCCCTTTCCCGTTTATCCTTCCATTCCGCAGCTGAGGTCCTTTCTAAACGGAAGCAGGTATGGAACCGCAAGGGAAAGGGCTTGTAAGCTGGCACTGCACGGCGACAACCGCCTCACGCTCAATCTCTCAATTATTACACCGACGCCCAATCAGCACCACCGCGGCAGGCATGACAGGAACGCATCGGAAGCTCTCCGGGTTGGCGTGAAGCACGGGAGCTCAGGATCAATTCCCATTCGAAGCTGAAGCTCTGAAGGGTGTTAAGAGTAGGTAGTAAGACGACGAGATGACGAGGGAGAAAAAGAAAGCTACGAGATGGGGAAGATGGGGGGGATAAGGCAAAAAAAAAAAAACCAAAAAAATCACATCGCTGAACTGGCAGGACCCCTCATCAGCTGGCCGGCAGGGCCTGACCTTTGGGAGTACTCGCACTTGCCTCTATTCAGAACTTGCAAGCAACAAGGGTCGGTGGGACATTGGATGCTGCAATCTTTGATTCGATTTACCCCCTTCGAACCCTTCTCCTCCTTCGCAGTCTCCTCCTTCCGGGTCTTATGCGGTAGGGGCCCCCATCCGTGAACGAGAGCTTGCAACTTTGTGTTTCTCAAAATCCCTCACCATTGTTACGTCTTTCTTCGTCCCAAGGTACCTTATTTCCCCGTGCCGTCTTTTTTTTTTTTTTTGGACGTTCCCGTTCCCGGGTTTCCGTTTCCCTTCCCTAGGTCTGCCGACATCGTCTTCTATGGGCAGTACGAACCATCCCTACAAACAGATGGATGGATGACCTCGGTCGTTCCTACTAGCTTCCCCTCGCCCCCCGTCAGCTGCAGCGCTGTCTCGCGCCGTCTCGCACCGTCTTGCATCGGCGCCACTCGTCGAGCATTCCGCCTCGAGGCGTCGCGGGAACACCTCCTGGACGATGGCGGTAGAGGTCGGGTGTTCGCTCCATGCTCTCGAACTGCTCTACTAGCACCCTTGATCGCAAGAGCTAAGCCAACGTGTGTGTGGTCTCGGGACCCCGATCCCTCATCCCAACCCGGTCTCCCGCCCCGCCCCGCTTTGCCTGTGACAGAAAGGTAAGAAGGAGATGAGATGCGCTATTCTGGGTCACTGGAGCCACACAGCCGCGGTTGTTGGCGACATGAGGGTCAAAGACCATGGACAGCATCTGACGGTATACCGGCATTCTGGCACAGCCTCTGACTGTCATTAGCATCGACAATTGATGATGCAAGTGTGTATCAACACGAGCATTTCGGATTGCCATGTCACCCCTTGACTAATCCACCTCCATAATGGTTGCCTACGAAGTACAGACCCTTTCTGCGGTACCGACCCTCTACCACGGAGAGAGGCAGAGAGAGAGAGAGAGAGAGAGACGCAGGCCAACGCCGATCATTCTCCCATCGTCGCAATCCCTTCCTCAGCCCTAGGTATTGTTCAATGAACACCCCCAATCTTTTTTGATGTTGGAATCGTCACTGGGCCCTCGGCTGTGTCCTTGTCGTCTCTCTCGGTGATCCATTTGGGCGGATACTTCTCAGTCTCTGCGCTCTGCACCGCGTGGTTTTTTTTTAGAGCATGTTAAATCCCCCCCTCCACATTTAAACTTCTCTTCGCGTTGCATGCGTAGCATCCGGATGTGATACTTTTTTTTTGTCTTCCCCTGGCCGTCGTTTCCTGTTTGGGGGCCCAATTCATCTCCATCCCCAGTCCGCATCCCCATCTCTCCATGTTCCGTGCTCTCCCTACGAGCAATATCATATGCATGAGTAGCCCCGGCACTAACCAGGGCGTACAGCAGGACCCTTGGCGATTACCTGTTTCCATCCATCAACCGAGTCCAGGCCCTCGTTGACGTCCGGCCCAGGAGCAGCTGCAGGCCGCAGCTGCACCTCACAATTCACAGCTTTCTGGCTTCCGTTTACATTGACTTACACCTCGCGTTCCGTTGTCTACCTAAGCATCTCACACCCATCCACCCGTCCACCACTTGGACACTCATTCCGTCTCCGGTACCCAAGGTAGCCACGGCGTGCATACCTCAGGTCCATACGACAGGGCATCGTCTTCAAAGCATCTCGTCATCACCATCGACAACAACCACAACGCCGGCAAGCCGCAAAACACCAGCAGCAGCCCCCGGTACTCCACTCTTCACGCAAACCAGCCGGGACGGGTCCCCACATAGACGCACTGAGGGTGGATTCCAGACTCTGGTTTGTTTCCTCTCGGAGTCTCGCTGCCTCTCTCTCACCTGAACTATACGGCTACTGCCCACTGCCCATCCATATTCACGAACAGTCCGACTTGCCAAGTCCAAGTCAACCAGCCACCAGCCGCCTCGCTGCGCTGCGCTGCCGGTCGCTAACAAGTACCACGCCGGCACACCGTCGATCCGCTACTGCCAACCACAACTGCGCTACAAACGCGATACCCTCTGTGCCCTTCTCGGTGGCTGCTGCCATCACGGGCTTCACATCTCCTACCGAAGGAGGAATTGGACCAGTGACAATCTGGCAGCGCAAGACGAAACAACGCCAACACCTCGCTCTCTGCCAATATGTTACCTCGATGTACCTTTTGGGGTCAGCCAGCTACCTTGAAGTGTCCCACCTTGCCTTGCCTCACCCGACATGCCTTTGCTACTACTACCTTATTACTCAACCTTTCCTTCTCCTTGCCTTGCCTTGCCTCGCCTTGCCTTGCTTTCTGCTTTGCTTGGCCATGGGACAAACTACGGGCCCGGCTTGACCACGACTACCTGCCCACTGTGCCTACCTTACCTCGTGCGTACCTCCCTGGCCTTGGGTATCCTGACGTGCCTACTCCAGTGCACTGGGCTTCACCTTATCCTGCGCTGCATTCTTAGGTAAGGTACACTACGAACCCTACTTAGGTACAACTAGATTGTACAGCTGGAATTGGCATTAGGCCTGCATCGCACTTACTGCTTTGGGCGATCCGTGCCTGCCTCGACTTCGATGTGTGGCAGGTGCGCGCTGTAAGGTACTCTGTACTTGGTACCTGCTTCCAGGCGGTCTCCTGCCATCATCCCTTCCCACCCTTCTTCTTTCCCTCCAATAATCGCCATCGTCACCATCCCAACCTTCCACCACATGTTTCCGTCGCCTTGGTCTTCTTATTCCTCTTGGTTTCTTAAATTTCTTCTTTTCCATATTGCATTTCTTTTGCGCCCTTCTTTTTTCCTTCCGCGCGCCCTGTCCCGCAACCTCCTCCTCGGGTCTTCATTTTTAACAACCCCTCCTCTCAGCCAGAACACCCGGTTGAGAGGTTTCGTCGGTTGTTCTCCAAAGCGGCGAAAGAGAGAGGGAAGGAAAAACAAAGAGGGTAAATCTTGCTACTAACCCCCGGCTCTCGGCAGGTAGATAGCTTGCCGCTGTCTCGTCTACACAAATACCTGTACCTAACGGACACCTTCTCAACGTCACGCTCCGCCTCCGAACCCGAGGCCTCTCGAGTCTCTCTTTTCCCCCCCCCCAGTCACAAGCCTTCTGTTCCTTGGTTCCCTCCGTCCAAGGTCTCACTTTTGGCGGCGAACTCCAGGCGAAATCCACTCTGCCGTCCAGCTTCTTCTACCGACTCACCTCACCCAGAGCCGCGCCTGTCTTGCCTCTCAGATCGGGGCACAGCCTGCCTCTACTCTGCATTCGAACCCACACTCGCCAGAAAAATCCCGCCCCACCAACCCTCGGCCGCCGAGTATCTGACAAGTCCTTAACTTCCTTGACTCGACTGCCAGGGACTTCGGAGTGGCTTTTCGCCACTGAGCAAGTCAGCCGACCCCACCACTACTCCAACTGAACAGGGCTCCTCTGTACCGCCCTGTGGTCCTGTGGGTTCGACCTGCACCCCCGGCACCACGAGCCTTTGGGAACGCACGCTTTGCACGACACCCCCCGGTCTCAGCGCTCGAGACCCCTACCTCCCCCCCGGTGCCACCTGCATCCAGCAAGACCCAGAACCTTTTAGACGGGCGGGTAGTAGCCTGCCAGACCACTCGCGTCTCCAGTCATTGGTGTCTCGCTCCAACATCTTGGTCCCGAAACGAGATCTCGTGTCTCTGGCTGCGTCTCTCTTGTGGACTCCCACTTTCCTTGCGACGTACACATAGAGGTACCGCGCCGTGCCGGGCCTCCAACTTGCCACGGGAACGACGCCAACTGCGTCCCAGCTACGACGTGCAAGTGGCATATCTGGCAATGGTATGAAATCATTAACCCTTTTTCCTGGATCATGAATTGTAGGTTTCTCTCACTTTCCCCTCCTTCCCTTCTTCATTTCTTCTTTCCTTTCTCTCTCTCCTGCGCAGGGGGGGCCACTTTCCCTTGTATCGTTATTTCCGACATCTGACTTTCCCTCCTCTGAACAGTCCATACCATGGTCGGTGTTGAGAAGCCGCCTTTGCCGATGCGGCTCGCGAACGAGGCAAGAATGAACGAAATCTGCAAACAGGGCGACCCATTCTACTGTTTCCTGCTCGAGGAGACGTTGTTATATTATCCTTTGGTGTTGTTGCTGGTCTTCGTCATCTCGGCCGCGATACACAGCATATTGACGACAGCGAAAGAAGAGGAGGACGAGGTCGGCGCAGCACCTCTGGGGCCGGGCGGTAAGCGACTGCCCGTGTCGAAGAAGAAGAAGCGCCGTGACGGAGACGAACCCAAACGCAAACGATATGGTCCGATACTGTCACCGACTTCCCGTACATGGCTGACCTGGATCTCCGCCGCCGTGTTTCTGACATTCATCGCCAATGGCGTTGCCCACTTCAGCTATGTGATGGGAGAGCTCGAGGGCGTCATCAAGGGACATAAGGAGTCCCAGTCCATGACTGTACGTTACCCTCTATGTATACTCCAAGCCTCAGGCTAATTCGAAACAGGTCTACCTTATCGGGTCGCCGAATCTCTACCTGTACCTCCTCACGACGCTCATCGAATGGCACGAAAGTCCGACGATAGCTCACTTCTTCACCTGGACTCTCGCTCTGATTGGCGAATTGGTCATTTGCATCTGCACTTCGCTCAAGGCCACGAACCCGGATTTCCAAAGCACTGGAGCAGCCCAATTCGAGACACAACCACCGCTTCTATCCAAGTGGGATTTGACCGATGTCGTTCTCTACATCATTCGCATCGCCTTAATAATGTGTATGCTTAGCATCTACATGGCTGCTTGGATCCACAAGCCCTTACAGGAGGAAAATAAGTCTGAGCAGCAAAACTCGTCTCAAGGCGCTGAGGAGACGACTCCTTTGCTTAATGGCCACAGGACGTCATATAGCAGTCAAAACGGCCGGGACTCGAATGGTCGATCAGTACGAAGCTCACGGAATGGAAGCACTGTCGGTAACACTAATGGTGCGGCTGAGGGTGGTAACATCACCAAGGACTATAAGGAGCCCGGCTTCTATCGACCCGACAAAGCCCCACAGACAACATGGTGGGGTTACCTTCGAAGCTACACGGTTTTCTTTGACTACCAGTGGCCCAGGAATTCGCTATACCTTCGGTTTCTCTACGCACTTTGCGTGGTCCTCTTGCTTGCGCAGCGTGTCATCAACCTCGCTGTGCCAGTTGTTGTCGGATGGCTCACCAAGAAGTTGACTCTTTCAGAGGCTCCTTGGGCCGTCCTAGGGCTGCTCATTTTTCTTCGGCTCATGCAAGGAGGAGGCATGCTTCTGGATGCGATCCGAGCCATCTTATGGGTACCAATCTCACAAAACTCATACAGGGCCCTGACATCAGCAGCCTTCGAGCACGTCCACTCTCTCAGCCTGGACTTCCACCTGGGCAAGCGAACCGGCGAAGTTTTGTCCGCCCTCAACAAAGGCGCATCTATCAATTCCTTCCTTGAGCAAGTGACTTTCTCAGTGGCTCCTATGATCGCCGATCTGTTGTTAGCAGTAGGGTTCTTCTGCTACTACTTTGACGCTACTTATGGTGCCATTGTCAGCTGTCTGACCTTCTGGTATCTATTCCTTACCATTCGCATGGCACAGACAAGGGCAGACCAGCGAAGAATCATGTCCAACGCTGACAGGGAAGAAGAGGCTGTCAAGAACGATTCCATTATGAGCTACGAGACTGTCAAATATTTTAACGCCGAGCAGTGGGAGTTCCAACGATACCGCAACGCCATCCAGGCGTATCAGGATGCTGAAAAGCAGGTAACATGGGGAGTGAACAAGATGAACGTCATCCAAGCCTTGGTTTTCATGCTCGGATTCAGTGTGGTGATGGTCTTTGGAGCCTACCAAGTCACCATAGGAGGAATGGACGTGGGCAGGTTCCTGACCCTCATGACCTTCCTCAACCAGCTGCAGGCACCTCTGAACATCTTCGGATCCTTCTACAGGACTATCCAACAGGCAATGATCTCGGGCGAGCGTCTTCTGGAACTGTTCAAGGTGAAAGCCACAGTCGTCGACACTCCCGGCGCCAAGCCCTTGCTGGAATGCCACGGCAACATTCGATGGAACAAGGTCGCGTTCAACTATGACCCAAAGAACAAGGCCCTAAAGGATCTTGACTTTGAGTGTAGGCCTGGCACCACCACGGCGTTTGTGGGCGAATCTGGCGGTGGCAAGTCAACTGTTTTCCGCCTCATGTTCCGGTACTACAACACATCCTCCGGCAGCATCGAGATTGACGGCCAGGATGTCAAGGACCTTACTATCGATTCAGTCAGACGTTACATCGGTGTCGTCCCTCAGGATACCACAATGTTCAATGACACCTTGATGTACAACCTCCGATACGCCAACCAGTCAGCCACCGACGAGGAGGTGTTTGAAGCTTGCCGCGCTGCCAGCATCCACGACCGGATTATGACGTTTCCTGATCAGTACAACACCAAGGTTGGAGAGCGCGGTCTCAAGCTCAGTGGCGGTGAGAGACAGCGAGTTGCTATTGCGCGGACGATTCTCAAGAATCCCAAGATCATCATGCTGGACGAAGCCACTTCGGCCCTCGACGCACACACCGAGCAGCAAATTCAAGATCGGCTTGGCCACCTCGGCCAGGGCAGGACACTGCTGATCATTGCGTAAGTCCCTTTCCTTCCAAAATTGAGTCCGCTCATGGTTGTGAATTCTAACTTGGCTTGCAGACACCGCCTGTCTACCATTACGCATGCTGACCAGATCATCGTCCTCAACAACGGCACCATCGCCGAGAAGGGCACTCACGAGGAACTGGTCAATGCCAACGGACGATACGCCTCGATGTGGGAGAGACAGGTGCAGGCAGAACGCGCTGCTGAGAAGGCTCGCGCTGCTAGTAGGAAGGCACAAAAACTCCTCAGAAAGGCGAATATCGGTGGCCTCAAGAAGCAAACGGACGGACACTCTGACGGATACACTAGCCTTGACTCGTCGACTATCCTGCCGGGCAGCTCAGGAAACAACTCCAAGGCCGGCACTACGGGAGAGGACTCATCCAGCTCCGGCAGCTCTGACGCAGAGTCGATTCATAGTGCTCACCACGACTCGGACCACTCAGATCGCTCCAATCACTCACATCACTCTGACCACTCACAACATTCTCGACGACACTGATTTTTCCAATCAGAATATCTATTGGTGTGGCAAGGCATGAATCCGACTGCTCATGCTCCATTGCTGGGATCAGCCACTTCTCATCATCCGCAATGCACACAACCCTTCCTCACTAATCCCTAATCCACGGGCATACAAACTGCCCGCACATTTTCCTTCACAAACACAATAAGGCTTGGGCCTTTCATGACTCAGGTTTAACGGACTAACGATCAAGATTGCATCAAACCGGCGACACGGAGTTTGGAGTTCACATATTTCTTTACCCCTTCATCATCAGGACCCAAAACAAAAAAGGACTTTCACGAGTAGAACAAAAAAACAATGACCCTGAGAAACGGTCTCCTGGTCAGGCTCGGCTGGTTAGTCTAAAAAGGGGAGGAGGGGGGGGGGGTTCTTTTCCCAATTTGTCGCCACCAGATACGCTCTCTACAGACACACAAATGGCCGCAACACACCACGCCTCGACTTCACATCATGTGTCCTCACAGCAGCGACATGCGACTCGTCTTTTCTATCTCGGAATTGGACAGGGCATTTTCGGTACCATCAGCATCATTATACAGGAGAGACGGCCTCTCCATTAATCATGGGCTTTCAGCAACAAGATTTGCTTTTCGACTACAGATCGCCACCTGCTACCATGGGCAGCGTGTTCGACAATGCATCGCAGATACCAGATTCCTTACGTTCGAAAAAGGTCTACCTTTTTATTTCTTCCTCAGATCATTTTGGGTGGTCCAAGGGAGTTGGATTACAAAGGCCGCGGGGAGGACGAACGGCTCACTTGCATTGTTATCATCACCATTGAGAAACTGGCTTTTATTTTTTTTTTAAAATCCCAGGCATCATTCCATGGGTGTGGATGGATGAAGGATCCTCCTCTCTTTCTGGAGGAACCATCAGCAGGTCTACTTTGCTTTTTCATCATGTTATCAGAGACTGGACAGGGCGGATGGGAAAAGAGAGATGGGCGGCTGTCCGAGCCAACTCTCTTCATTTTTTTATTTCCAATTTCTGGGGGTTTGCAGCTACACATGATAGCTTCGCAGCAACTCAAAGGACAGGGTTCATAGACGGTAGCGATCCTCGCGCGCAAGGGGGGGCTTGCGACGCTAGCGATCCAACATTGCTCAATGCTGAAAAAAATATGTTCAAAAACCTCAGGACCACTTGACTCTACACTACTGACGTGAACTTACACCAACCAAATATTGGACACATGAGTTGGTACCATTGAAAATCACTTCGAGTTAGCACCACTGCAGAATAGGACGGAATGGATGTAGAGACGTGATTGGTTATGGGATAGCACACCTAGGACGTTCTACAGATGTCCATGTGCAGTGAGGCAAAGTACGCATAGACACACGCCTGTCTGTTCTTCCTGCACACAGACAATTGGAGCCAAGTCTCCCACTCTACGAGGTAATTCTCTCTCCTCGTTCCTAATCCATCGCAGCCCTGCGTTCCAGAATTCTTCGTCGCAGCCGCAATCCTCGGCTGAAAAATGCCTCGGCCTAGTGGAGTCATGTACCACTTTTTGCTCCTTCCCTAAAGTACTGGAGCACGAGGAAGTCATGAGAACGCTTCGGAATGTGTAGGATGTGGACTCGATGCCGTGAGTACAAGGAATGTGAGAGCCTAGTGGGAGTGAGACTTGATTCAAGCGGTGTGGGAGAGGACGTCGTCAAGTTGCCTGTTTGCGCACGAGGAGGTGCCGTCATCGTCCACGGACGCACATCTGTCTCACTCGATCTGCCTTTGCACTCATACCCCTCTTGAGACCACCACCTCCACCAACCAACCAACCAACGCCTTGACCTCGGCTGACTATTGCTAAGCCCCAGCAGATGCGGATTGCTCGAAGCTAGAGTCCCGGCGATAACCGATCAAGTACGACCGGCATCTGAGGTCGTGTGCTTTCCCATGTCTAAGTTTGATGTCTCGTTCTACACCAGCCCAACACAGATAGCGTCCATTGATTATTCTGGGCATCTCGTCGACTTCGAATTGTGTCCGAAACACATGCTTGTTGATTGTAGGCGTCGTGATCAGTTCGTATGCATGCGTCAAAGTCAGTGCGGTAAGGAGGTGCGATCCCAGCTTTTGTATCGCAATTCAAACGTTCTGCACCCCACGTTTCGGCAATTCCTGAGCCACCACGCTTGTTCCAAAACAAAGATTTTTTGCGACTCCGCGTAGCGATGAATGGTTGCCCGAAGTGTTTTAGTGCCTTCTTCTGTCCTCTCATGGTATTGGGTATATCCGCCGGTTGTAAAATTTGTCGCAGGGGAAAGGTTCAATGACCTCCACAGGCACCATCATGATGCCTCAATCCGCATCCTCTTTGGTCATTATCCCAGGATACTATCGTCCATGGCCATTGGCAAGTCTGGCATGAAGCGCATAACCATTGACTCCGGTGGTGTAGCCGTTGCTCTTCTCGGGCAGAGCATTCTTCTTCTCAGCCTCGTCATCAACATCGGTGACTTCGGCATCACTGCGGTCATCTTCCGCAATGTCGTAGCGAAGGAAGCGATAGGCGATGCGGAAAATGTAGAACAGCCAGAAGAGATTCAGAGCCTGGAGCGACGAAAGGAGCCCGAGAGTGATGTACTGCGAGAGCGTACACTTGTACTGCTGGGTGGCCCAGTTCAATTCGAACGGCCCGACCGTGGTGTACTCGGTGAAAAGGGATAGGATAATCTTCAAGTTGATGAAGTGACGCAGGTAGACCCAGACACACATGAAGAGGAAGAAGTAAGGACCGACGATTGGGGAATCGATGTAATTGAGTACCTTGGACGTCTGTTGAAACAGTCAGCACTCCCTGTAGTTCCTCGGCCAGCGTATCCTATACTGGAGAGCTCTCGTGGTATTCCTTCTACTTACAGCAAGAAAGAAGTCACTGATGTCGTGAGTGGAGTAAACTGCCAGTCCCATATAGGTGAAGTGGAAGCGGTAGCTAAGAGCAATCAGAGCAAGACTGACGATGTGGTGGCCGACCAGCTCCTTGAAGTCTTTGCGGGGCTTCTCCATACCCAACAGCAAGACAATTGCCTGTTGAGCCCAATAGGCAGCCTGGAAAAGATAATAGAACTTGAAGCCAGCCTCGTGTGTCAAATGCGGGAAGTCTTGGTACATGCCGCGTGTGCTGTAGTACCAAACGGGCGTCTTGCTCATGACGAACAGACCAGCAGGGCCAAGGCAGCCGAAGTAAACGGCGGTGTACATCTGCTCCATGAACCGAGCCTGCTTGCCGCGAGAGCGAATTCCGGCAGCGCGAGCGAGAGGCCGTAGGACTTCTTGCATAATAAATTCCCGGGTAAAAGTCAAGATTACGGTCCAAAATGATACGAAGGCGATGTCCCATAGGCCCTTGCCATACTGAACAGGAGCATCAGGGTTGGCGGGATCGAATGGTAAGCGGTAGGAGAGGAAAATAAAGCGATGGAGGGGATTCGACTCGTTTGGTTTGACGATGTAAAGGACCAGGGTGAGAGCGATGATGAGGGCGGGCACGAGATACGTGTGCTTGGCCATGGCTTGTCGAATACGGGCGAAGCCGCCACGAGCTCGCCGACGCTTTGAAGGGCGTTTTGTAGGTACAGTCTAGAGGAGGCAAGAGGTCAGTCAAGGTTGAATATGGAACAGTATCTAGGAATAAGGATCGGGGTGGCTAGCAGAAATGAGACCGAGAGGAGAGGGGGTGTTACGGGTGTGATAGAGCTGTCTCTGGCGGTTGCAAGCGCGGGTCCTGTATCGCCAGCGCGGATATCTGGGCCAAGTGCGCTTGACTTGCGTCGTCGTGTTATTCGAGGGCTTGGGGAGTGGTCGACGATGGAATGCAATTGGTCGACGGAGGTGTTGAAGAGAGGGAATGGCTCGGAGTCAGCCATGGTGGGGTCGCTTCTGACAGCGTCTCGGGTTGTTTAAAGCAGTCGTGCAATGGATTGGGAGGGCAGGATGGCGGAGTGCAGTCGCAATGAGGTAAGAGAGGGGAGGAAGACGGTGAGTTTGAGTTTGGGAAGCTGTTGGCGGATGCGGAAGAGGAAAGCCGGGCAAGGTAGTCGTGGGTTGGAAAGGAGCTTCTGATTTATTAGACGTAGAGAAGGTCAGGGGGGCCCGCTGTCGATCATGGAAGTTTGGGTAAGGAAAGACAGGGCGAACGTGGTCGGCGGGTCGGTGGAGCTGTTGAAGAACAAGTGCGACGGGGGGGAAACTCGAGGTCGGACTCAGGGTTGTTCCTTGAGTCTTCTGTGTTTCGTTGTGGGAAGTCGTCTGACCGAGAGTCCAGTCGTCTGTTTTCGCCATTCCACCGCAATGCGGTCAAAGAGCAGGAGCAGCACCAGCACCTAGCGAGTGAGCGAGAGAAGACTCAGCGAAAGGGGTGGTTCAGTCCAAACCAGAGGGATCAGACACTGGTCCTCCGTCAGAGCAAACGAGTGCAGTCGCCGTGGATGAGATCAAGCACATGGTAAGAAGAAGGCAAGGGGGGGGGAGAAACCGAATGATCCATCCTTGACGATGGCAAAAAAAAAAAAAAAAAAAAAAAAAAATCAGAGGTAGGAGAAAAAAAAATACGCCGAGAACCGTTTGGGAGTTGTTTGACTAAACAAATGAGACGGGAACCACGGCAGCCAACGAGCTTACACCGAATTATACAATTGTGGTAAGGTGCCTTCCGGGCAAATGGTTGCATCGGTTCCTGCTTGGGGTGCCCCATCTTAACCGTGATCAACCCCTGCTCAAGATAAGGTACCTTAGGTAAGGTACCTTCTGGGGCACATTCGCCAAGCTTGCATCTGGTCCACATTTCCAGATACGTATGCGAATTCAACAGCGACGTGGACAACATAACCGGGGCCATCCCTATGGAACGGGCAGCGTGGCGTAGCTCCAAAGGCCTCTTCCCCGTCCTCACGCAGACACACAACTTACGGACAGAGATGCCCCCGGCTCGCACCTAGGTTTCAAAAGCTCAAATGCGTATGCCTTGGAACCCGGCCCAGCCAAGCTGAGCTGGCAGCTGCGGAAACGAGTCAAGACAGCTCTGCGATCGAGATCGGATTTAGAACTCGATATGTCATAGTCGACGATTCGTTATGGCGCATGTCGACATCCATGACGAAGGTTCAGAGAACGAAGCTGCTACATAAGAGCACCTTTTCTTCACTGGATTACGACAAGGTTGCCTGGCTCCGAGTGCTACCAAGCCTCACACGGAAGGCTCAGGTCTGCTCATAGCTGACGGATAGTCCAGACCTACTTAGGCCAGACCCGAACCGAACCTCTTTCCGGGTTATTTTATCTCGCCAATTCACAATATTCACGACAGACTGTGGGAAATCGTCATGGCACATGTGTCGACGTTCCCGCTCGACTTTAGAGACATACGGTATCTGGCATCCAGGGAAACTGACGTACGGTTGATGGGTGCATTTACATCATCAGCAGCATCATGACCGCCTTCACCGCCTTTACTTCGGACCGGACAACATCTACCTGAGCCAAAGACACCGAGCCCACCCATTGTGTTCTGCCAATTCGAGCCACTGTGAAAGGGCATCGGTCCTCGAAGGCGTACTCAACGGGCTGAATGAGATGCAGTACCCACAAACGCCGTTTCGCTCAACCGGCCTAAGTTGAACAAGATCTCAGACTTTCACCCCGCCAAATAGCGCGCCAGGATGCCGACCCCGCCGACCCTCTCTCACATGCACGCGCTGAGGCACACATTCCCGCCCTTCCCGGCCCCTTCCCCCCCGCGCTACCGCTGCACCCTATTTGTACCTTATTCCGACAGCCTGGCATACCTTCCGAGATTGTCGTCACCGGGAGTCAGGGACCGCTTCGGTCCTCTTGTTGTGTGATCCCTCCGTCTCTCAAAGTGTCCGCAGTCTTCGCGGCAGCATCTTGACTCATCGCGTTGGACGGCCCCCGCGCTCAATGGCTTGCCTAGGTAACATGACACAGGTCTCCCGAAGGTCCCGGAGTACAGTCGAGACACCAGCACTTACACGGCGTACAAAACCCTGCTATCGTCCCGCATACACTTCCGTCCTCCGCCACCGTCGCCGGGGGGCTAACGCAGGTCCAGCCTTGAGACCTCCGATCCTTCATCGATACACCTCTAATACACAGGACTGCCGTGGATGTACCTTCCAGGTGCCACAGAGATCTAGACCGGCAGCCACCGCTCAGAACAAATAAATACTCTTTGCGGCCCGTCGTAGTAAGGGATGCAACTATGGACAGCCTGCAATTCTGTGCTGATTGCACATCGTAGCCATCAGCCTCGACGGGGCAAAACTTGGCAAGGCCCTCTGCGCCCTGTCGCGCCCTGCCGTACGTACTCTGTAATCTCTAACAACTTTGCTGGGGACATCCGTCAGATACAAGCCCCTCTGGGCGCCAAGCGTCACACCTGGAATGCTTCTTGCGCCTGCACTGAAACGATTCTAGGTATTGAATGTCAAACGGCTACATTCGCAGAATTCGTGGCCCTGGTTCACTCCCACGAGAGACGCGCCAGTTTTGCCCATCTGGCCAGCAGCGCAAAGGGTATTCATTGCGGATAAAAAATTGGGTATCCAATAGATAGTCTGTGTCATTTCAGCATCAAGCCCCGTCGACTCAATCTGCGCCTTGGGCCTTGAAATGAGAGTTGGTCATCACAACCTCACGCGCAGGGATTCCGAGACTTGCTGTTTGCACTCGCACCATTTCTAGGAACTAATTATGAAGAGAAAATTTGCTCCCACATTGAGCATGTGCAAACGAATCATTGTTAAGGTTCCATTTAACGTGTTTTAACCATTGCGGCTACAGCGTGTTCTACCTCTCGCCACCTCTTGTCCATCCAAACAGCACCTGGTATTTCACCCTCAAACCGCTCGCCCTTGGCTGCTCGCGAGAAACTCCCAACGTTGGGCCCACCTCTTGCCAGCGCGCGCGAGGCTTCATCCCCTCTCCCCTGCCCCTCTTCCTTTCATCCGGAAGTGGTCACCTGTAAACCAATGCTGAAATTCAAAGCCGCAAAAAGCCCTTCTGTTCTCTGCGTCGCCCAACTGTGGGCTATGTTCCCGTTTCCTCAAAACATGTCTCTGAAACCACGACTGGTCCCTCATCATTATCCGCAAAATAGTTTTGGTTTCCGCTCCCTCGTGAGGGCGTTTCGCCTCTCCCAGATACTCCATCCGCAATATACACTTTGATATTTGAACAACCAATCAGGACTCCTGCCCGAGCCGTCCGTTTCCCCCGTAATAGTGCGCCGTTTTGCTTGCTTGCGATGCAAAAGAGACAGAAAGCCACGCCGCCACGCTTTTGAATAATCGACAAAGAAACTCGTAAACCGCGTAAGCTCGTCATGAGGGGGTGGGCGGCATATTCGGTGAATGCGGCTCAAAGTCCTGATGCTGGGTCCTTACTCCAGGCCAGAGAGGTGGTCTGCTGAGCTGAAGAGTAGCTGACTCTGGTTCTTGACCTGCGGTGGCGGGGGACCGGCGAGAGAAGTTACTTTGTGTCCCTCCCCGACCAGCAACAGTTTGGGGTGACAGCGCAGAGGCGTCGCTGACGGTACTGCTACGGCCCGGTTGCTCGTTATCTTCTTGGCCTCGCTCCTCTTCCAGCAGTTGCGCCAATGCTGCTCCTTGTCTTGGTGGTGCGGGAATGACAGTGACCGGAAGGCTGTCTGTTTCAGGGGTCGGTCGCATCTTCTCTCTGATCTTCTCGGCCTGAGTCGCAGCAAAGTCCTCTAAACGAGCCCGGAGATCCCATCTGTCGGCATCGTCGTGGCCACCCCGCACCTCGGGCTTTGACTCGGTGTGAGCCATCACCTCCGCAGGCGGATCGCGAGCAGTGCGACGGAAGAGTGGGTTGGCAACCAGGGATCGCCAGCCATTGCGGTTCTTCTCCGTCATGTCTTCCTGAGCCTCTGTGTCGACTTCAACGGTTTTGTGCGTTGCTTGTCTGGGAACGGGCGCGGCCATCGAAGGCTCGTCGTCGCTAATGGCGGAGGTCGAGTCGCTCCTAGATGATGTCGAGTTACTCCTCGACATGGCAGCTGCGGCATTTCTTTGTTGCTGGTTGGCTGCTCGGACGAGCGCCTCTGGTGTCCTTGATGTTGTCTCTGACGGCAGCTGGTACCTCACAGCGTAGACGGTGCTCGCTGCACTGGCTGTGTCGGTTCGGCTCACCGGCGTCACCGCAGGAGCGGGCCGGGAAGGCCACATGGGCGGACGCAGCAGACCGCCCTTGGATCTTTGACCGTTTTGGTTGTTTGCTCCAGAATTAGTGTGGGTGTGGTTGGAGCGGTATCTCGATGCGATCTGGGTCATGCCTGGCCAAAGGTTGCCTCTGTCGCCTGGCGGAGGACCTTGGGCGCCAGTATCACCTTGAGGTCCATCTTCGCCACCGTCATCACCATCCCGACCGCCGTTCCTGTTCTTTCTCCTCCTGAGCCACGGGAACTCGGATGCTGAGACCTCCAACATTTCGTCTCCGTCGAAAATCTCGCGTCCCAAGATACCATCCTTCTTTTCTTCTCTTTCCAATGCTTCGATTCTTTCTACCCATTCCCAGACCACGACACTAGCGCCAGCCGCACCAACCCAACGCACGTAGTCTCCCCAGACCGCGAATTCTGGCTGTGCCATGTCCAGCACGAAAAAAACGACCGGTACAAGAATGGCGAAGAGAGATAGGGTAGAGACAAGAATCATGTTCTTCATCAAGGGGTGGTAGAAGGCGTATCGCTTCTTCATGAGCGAGTAGTAAATGACCCAAGCGGCGTACAGCAGGCCGAGGGACAGTTGAAATAGGTAGCTGAGAGCGGGAACAGCGTCCACAAAGCTTCGTGGACGGGCGTTGCCGTTACTCCCGCTGGTGGGGTACTGGAAACTGTTCAAAGCGCTGAAGATGAGATTCAGTGTAATCAGCGCGAATGCAGTCCACTTGATAATAACCTTTTCCCGCTGACGAGGGAAGAGCCGGATGAGAGTTTGGGCTTGTGCAAGCCACAGAAAGGTGTCGGAAATGAGGCGAATGGCTTTCAGTTCGGTTCCGTCCATAACCTCTGACTGCATCTTTTTGGCGTCCTGGATTGACCACTGATATTGTTGCTCCGCAACTTTAAACGTGTCGGCGCTTGCTATTGTGAGAGAGATTGCAACGGTGACTGCGGCCACTTTCTGCAGCCATGGTCGACCTCCGATGCTGATCCCGTTGGAAGTCCCGCCACTTGTAAACCCGCGTCGGCCCAAATATACCACTCCACCGTCAAGAAATGATCGAGGGGTAATAAACAGCATGATTACAAGCATGTATGCCGTTACTGTCGTCGCAGCGAGGGCGTAGCAGACGGGGAAGATGGAGGCAAAGAAGGGGTCGCGCAAGTCGTTGTATTGCACCGCGCCTCCGTTCGTAGTTTCTTCGTAGTTGATTCCATTGTTCGCAATTATGATGGGCGCGGCCGTCGCGAACTTCGCGGCTGCTGCCCCAGCGGCGCCTAGAGAGGGCAAAGGACTCGAGGCTGCGGCGAGATCTGCCATGTTGACGGCGCCGACTCGTCGGATGCTAGTCGATGAGGAACAGAGCGGCCAGCCGCAGGCGAGGATCGAAAGAGGCTTCCTCCTATTCCTGAACACTCGCCATCGAATACGCTCTGCAAGAGTCGGTGGTTTCGCTGTGTCGATTGACGTGGATGTCGAGTTGTTGTCGTCGTCGAGCGGCGCGAGTTCCGGGACTCGGTCGGGCGGATGGCTGCGGCGAGAGTCGAGGATGTGAATCCGGGCGTTCCAAAGTCGCGCGCGCCCACCGTCGATAGAAAGCCGGCAGTTGGCTCGAAGAAATCGTCAATGGTTCAAATTCCTCCAGCGAAATACCAAAATAGCCAAGGTGACAATCGAATTGTCAATAAACCGGGTCGAGATTGAAGTTGTCGGTGACCACAATGGAGAAAGTGATGCAGGAAGGCTTGCGTGTGGGGGATGTGGGAGGGATCGCAGGCTGGGCGCCGAGAGCCGAGAGATTATGGGAGGACAGAGAATACGGGGGAAGGAAAGGGCGAAAGAAGGAGGCCCGGGGGGAAGGAGAGTGTAAAGATACTTCCGGGGGCCTGCTGAGTCGCCATAGACGGGAAGGCGACGCGCTGTATTCTGGTACGCTTTGTTTGACTGGTGCTGGCCAGATCTGGCTGTTCTTGCTAGCGGGTGGAGTCGTAGACCGTCTCGAAAGTGTTTGGGAAGGTCAAGTCGGGGGGACGCGGATGGATATGGGAGAATCGGGGGAGAAGCGACTCTCCGTGCTATCCTGAGAGGGTGCCAGCGGTAGGTGGTGTTGGTGCGAGGAAGGCGAAGCACACTGTAACCAGAGCGAATGGGGCTATTCACACCCCTCCCCAGGTTTCCGTTGCCGCTAACTGTGCTTGATGCTATCGGATATGAATAGGACTACTTTAAGCACACCCGGATGAGGTTTAACAAAGAGTGGGGCTCATGTAGCCCTCATCTTGAGTGCACAGTCTCCAAACTGTACACTCCCGAGTCAGAGGGACTGGCTCTCGAAGAGTTGTCGTGAAGCACTGCCGCGCGATCGTGTAGTGACAGCTTGGCGGACCCGACGAGATTCGGGGCGATCTATCCGTACAGACACCAAGGAAAGGGACCTTCGCCGTTGTCAACACGCGTGTGAAGAGGATTTCCGACTCTGCATGGCCCGTCGTATTGAAATTGCAGCGTGAAGGCGAGCAGAGACTCCGCCCAAGCCCCTTCCTCGTTAGCTTGCATTGTGAGGGCGAGCCGGGCATCGAGATCAGACGGGAGGGGAACAGTGATTGACTTCAAATTAATCAATCGGCTGTCATTCGCGTCCGCATCGCGTGGTGCGACAGAAGGCTTGTTCAGGAAGCTTCATGGATTGTTGTCACAAGTGCTAGCAGTGTAGAGATTCACCGTCATTCTCTTGCTGAGGCCACTGTCGAGGTGTCGTCGAACAACGAGGAGGCCTATTCCCCAGCGCGCCAACGCCTGACGGCCACCTGCATTGTGTCCTTAGACATTATCTAATACCTTCCATATGCAGAGAGTACGTTCTCTACAGAGTGAGACACTGTGCGCCCGGCGCTAGACGTAGCGGGCTACAACGCCGTGCCCACCGCTGCAGTTGGATTGATGAAAGAGCACATCCGCGGGTGTCGGCCGCAAGAACTGAAAACGAGATCAGTGGCTGCGCCTCTCCGTCTCGAGGGAAGCACCCTGACACAGAGAAGAGCAGTTGTGGTGATCAAGAACAGAATTCAGATAGCCACCAGCCATCCGTTTGGGCTCGCAGCGTTTTGTCTTGGCTCTTGAAACACGGAAAAGCGCAACGTGGCTGACAAAGAGCGCTATCCTCGACTTTGTTCGACTCGCATCCTGTCGATTCATCACACCTCATATCATTTCTGAGGTCTGAAAGATAGCCTGAGGGGAAGTGGTGACATCAGTTCCATGGTCGCCTGTTTATCATGGCTCTACTCCGTACTCTGTACCACCTCTAAACAAAACAGACGTGGGAGCGTGTGCTTGTGATCGTTACGGAGACAGGAGGGATTGGACGGATGCAAGGTGTGAGATGAAGACGGAGAGGCGAACGGAAGGAGCCCAGAGTTGAGTTGTGTTGCTGACCGGACGGGTCGAAGGGATTGCTGGGCGAATTCGCGGGATAAGCCTCCCAGTGCCCTGCTACGGCTGCCTCGCTTCGGTGGCCACTGAGCTGGAAGAGGAAATGACGAAAAGCCACGCCACGGAAGGATCCTACACTGTGCTAAGGGTGGCGGGCACGGCGTTCTCTCTTGGAGCCACGCCCCTTGCCCTGGTCGACTACCGTCCAATAGAATGACTCTTGGGGCGAGAACTATGGGTCATCTGCAACCCATGGCCTCGGACCAACGTTCAAATGGGTAACAAGCCAGCTACGTATCTGATGGAGATGAGCAGGGAAAACTTGTGCAGAAAAACCACCACTAACAAGCCCGGGCTGCCGTCTGTGACGGAAATAAGGCGCTGGGGTTGAAGTTTTGAACAAGCTTCCCGTTCCCCCCTTGCCCACTTGCATCGTTCCCGAGTCCGCAATAGGGGATCAAGAGCTCAGGCCAACGGCACATCTTCATCGATACAGGGGTTCTAAGAAGGTTTCCGAGTGTTGGAGGAAGGATGGTTGATATATAAATAGTACGAAAATGTGTGGTTAGTGAGGTGATGTCAATACACGGCTAATCTTATCGACTTCGCTTACGTTGTTGCAGACGGGAGTGCCAAAGAACTACGTGGTAGAAGAAATGTAGGTGGCAGCCAGGCCAAAACCTGTTGTCGGCTCTACTGTCCAATCCCATGGCCAATATCGGACTGTATGCGGGCGGACGACGTGGCGCTGGCGCGCTTCGATGGTGCAATGAAAAGGTGTTTGCTTGGTGGTGTTGACGATCTGGTTTTGTCTACAATTGCCACCACGCTGCAGCCTGCACCGTGAGATAGGCTGTTGGCTTGTGCTTCCCGCCTTTTCTTCCCTCCTTTCTTCCCCGTTCTTCGTGCTGCCTTCCCCAACCCAATACCCCGTTTTTCCCACACCTGCCCGTCTTGGCTCTGTTCCTCTTGGCAAAGCTTATCACGCGTGGCTGGCCAGAGTCTTGGTGATTGGATTTCCCTCTCAACCGCCTTTCATCGTCCCTTCCTTTCCCGTCCACCCATCCTCCGTTGCTTTTGGGTGGCTGAAGGGGGCCTGCAGTTATCGTCGCCGACCTGCGCCTGCCCTGTGCTTCCGTTCTGACCCTCCTCGTCTTTAACTGCGACGGATGTCTTTTTTTTCTGTCATCCGCCCCAGACGAATTGCTATTCTGCCTCCTGACACTGTCGCAGCATCTGGTTTTGTTTTTCACGGCCCGCAACCTGCTCCCGCTCAATTCAATCCACAATTCAGTCTAACTTCGAGTCCCTTTGTGCTCCGCATCATCCAGCTTCAGTCTGAACCAAGGTGCGCACGACTTACGCCGCGTCCTTGAAGACAGGCGAATTCAAAGTGAGACAAGCGGTCGAGTCTCACCTAAAAAAAAAAAACCTCCAGCCAGCACGCGACACGCTGCACAGGCCAGCAAACGACCGTCTGCCTCGTCTCAAACTCGTCCATCTATTTGTGAAGTCTTTTCGACTCAACCAGCTAAGTAAACGGGATCCGTGTTTGAAAGGAAAATACACAGCACTGCGTACAGTACAGGAAATGCGGATAACGCAGCATTATCACTCGGCCCGTGCCAACAACTTAGTGAATCAATCTCAATAATCGTACCCAATACCGCGGAGTCGGAGGCGAATTATCTCTAACGATTTCGATTGAGTAGTAAAGCACGCAGTGTAAAACACCGAGCAAGATGTACTAAGGACGCGGTAGTCGTCTCGGTCTCCAGCTCTTCTGCGTTCCCATTCTGGACCTTTCAGATAACTCTCCGAGGCGCTAGTCACCGCCGCCACAGCTCCCTCATCTCTTAGCCTACGACAAGCCTTCATCCTGTTTCGCGACTGTAACCAAAATTTCGTATGCCTTTTCAGGGCGTAGTAAAGCTCGTCACCGGTATCTTATTGCCACGTCGGGCGATTTCTTCGCACTCTGAGGTCGTCTGCCCCTCGTGGCCGACTCGACTCGCAACGCCCCATGTAAGTCCTGACGTCGAGGCTGTGTCCACTTGAATACTTCCTCCAGTCTTGAAGGTGCACCGGCTACGTTGTAAGTTCCCGTACATGCTACGATCGGGAGCCAGAACGGACGCTTTTCGGGAATCCGGATAGTACCTGATGTTGACTATCTCAAGTGCCAAGCCATTTGGGCAAGCGAATTTAGTCTGGCTGAGATTCAGTCAAGCAGCTCTTGGCGATCACCAAATGTGCAAAACTCCCTCTAAACTCTACCCCAGCGGCGCAACACCAACACCGTGACTAGACTCCCAAAGCCTCCACGCCAACACCCGCTCCAGGCTTTTCTTGAAGGTCTGAATCGTCTTGGCCGCCCCATCAGGCTCGCTGGATCATGTTGAGACGCTGCAGCATTCCTGATGGTGTGCTATTGAACTCACTCAGACGAGTGAGCTGTACCAATCAAGGGCAAGCAGTGACGCAAGACTCTGTTCCACCTGGTTGTGCTTGGATTCCCAGTTTTGCAAAGGCGAATTTGAGGCTCGCTGGGCATGAATTTCTTTGCAGACGAGGCCGCAGCTAGTTGTGTCTCCGCTACCTAGACTGACCTGACCAAAGACGGTCTTGGCAATGAGTGTCCAGGTAAAGCTCTCGACAGCGAGAGCGACGGGCTCCCGCAACTCTATGTCGCATCGTCCAATGGTCTCACAAGCAGCCTCGTGGAATAAACAAGTTCGTCGTGAACCATCTCAGGGGTATCAATTATACAGCCTCTACCGTCAACGCCTCTCTCTCTCTTCCAGGTCCCTTCTGTACAGGATCTCAACCCTCCTGCTCAAACGTATCATTCAGATACCCAACAAAGCTCTCCCTCATCCTTTCCGCACTAAAGTTCCCCACGCCCTCCAGCCCGATACCTCCGCGGTTCAACCCCACAAACGCCCTCCTAAGCCTCTGCAGCTGCGGCAGCCCGACCTTGCGACCGGGAAGTTGCACGACGAGCTCCTTCTTCTGCCCCCCTCCTCCTGCTGTCGCTACTTGATCATCACCACGCGAAACCTTGACCTCACCGCCCTCCTCTCCGCCTTCCGCCTGCGCTTCCAGGATCCGCTTGACGACGTCCTGCGTCTCACGATCCAGCACATATAGGTAGTCCCCACTGGTATCGCGGCTGCGCTGAACCGTCGCCTGATTGGGCTTGATGACCTTGCGGCCCGTCCCCGCGACAGCGTCCCAGATGTCGTCGCACACCTTTGCCGTCTGCGCGGCATCGTCGTCCCAGATGAGGGTGAAGAGCGGGCTGTCCCAGCGTGTCATCGGGTTCGGCTCCTCGTAGCGGAAGACGAGGTTTTCCCAGTTGTCCGTGTCGTAGGGCTGTTCTTCCTCGTTGTGATCTTGCTCCTGCTCCGCGTCCTCTGAGGTGTGCTTTTGGTCCTCCGAGGGCTGCTTTGCTCCGTCTCCCTCCTCTATCGTCGTCGTCGCTGCGGCCGACCCCCGCCTCCTCAACCTCTCCTCGTTGACTCCCCTAGCCCTCTCGATCCCACACCCAATCTGCAGCACGACACTCGGCGTCCTCACGGCTTTGGCCTCACAGTGCAACTGGTACCGCCACCCCTTGATGTAGTTCATACCGTCCAAGATGACAATGTCCCGGTCCGACAGCACACGCTTCACGGCGCCGTAGACGACCGCCCTAGCATCCTTTTCCGAGGCGTTGGCGGAGCGGGTGTGCGCGCGCACCTTGGCCGGGTCGAGGTCGTATACATCGCGCGATATCGAGAGGGTCGAGTCGGAGATGTAGTGGAGTCGGTATGGTGGTTGTTTGCCGCCAGAGGTGCCGTCGGCGGCGGCGACGATGCGGGCGGCCAGGTGGGCTTGCAGCTGTTTTGCGCGAGTTGTCTTACCCGAGGTCGGGAGGCCGGATACTACGATTAACTGCCACGGGGTAAGTTTTCTTCTTCACAAGCCTAGCATTGGCAGGACTCACCGGCATGCTGTCGTTTCGTAAGTTGACGGGTTATGGTTCAATAGCGAGTGACAGACTTTGGCGGGGTTTCTGGGGATTTTTCTCGCCTGCGATCAGCTACCCCACCTACCAAATTGGGACTGCATGTATGTGGTTGCGCGCAGAATGCGCCCCCTTCACATTGTGCGTCACAAAGTACGGAGAATCGTACGAGGAATATGTTGTGTATTGATGCTCGATACTTTCGAGCATGGGTATCTTGAGTTCTTTGACTCCACTTAACGCCTAAGTCTTCCTTCTACATGCAATCCCGTCCTAGTCTCTGACACATGGGCACTCCTCTCAGTCATCCATATTTTCATCATCGTCTCGGTCCCCTTCAGGTACATGGGAGCCCATGATATCGATGTAGAGAAGCATGCGCTCACCTGCGAGATCCATCATCTCCTTGGCGTACAGATCCCGCTGACTAGGACCCTTTTTGCCTCGACCCCGACGACTCGGAGTCATCGCGCTCCTCCGGTTCGTACCCTTGGCCTTGGCCTTCCGCGCCTCGATTCCCTTGGCCGCGGCCTTTCGGAGCTCATCCCTGGCTTCACGGATCTCCTCCACCGGCAGCATGTGAAGCAGGCTCTCAAGAATCAGCGCCACCCTGGCGTTGTCCTCCGGGTCGATGGTATTAGCATGGTGACCCAGGTAGCACAACTTGAGAACGTCTGCGTTGATTATAATGCCGCCGTCCTCCCCTATGGTGACTTTCTTAGGGTCCTCATATCCGGAGGGCAGCAGCTGGTCCAGCTGGACGGCCAGGAAGTCGATCTTGAAGGCAGCACCGTATCGCTGTATGTACGACCCCATGTCGGTGACAAATTGGTGAAAGAACGACAAGGGTTGCTGCTTGAGTAATCTACACAAGTCCAGCGTGTATTCATTATGATCCATAAACTCCTCTGGCATGTTGTAGGCAACCTCGGACAGGAGCTCCATCAGTCGTAGCCGAAGAGGAATTGAATCTGCCAATGCGGTGGCGACAACATCTCCAGGCTTCCTGGCTGGTGTGTGTGCTATTCGAGGCGTTCCCGGCGTGCCCGCCTCTGAGGGTTCAGAGTCCGTCAGCTCTTCGTTGAAGTAGTCGCCAAACTGGTCATTCTCGATGTCGAGCGTAGTCATGCGCTTGCGTTTCTTGTCCTCGCTTGGTAGCCCCTTGGTCTCCTTGTTGAACACCTCGGGGAACTTGGCCGTGGATGAGCTGCAGCCGTCGGCGAAGACGGCTTGGAGGATCATCCTCAGAGCACCCCTCCCGGAGTCAGTCTTTTGCTTGATGTACATGACGAGAATTGACTCTCGCATGTTTGTCCAGTTCTGTGGTTGCTGAGACGAGGCCAGCGATTCCTCGTCTATGCGCTTCCGCTCGTAGATGTCGGTCTCGAGAACGTCCATCATGAACTGCAGCCATGTCTTCCAGAACCGCCACCGGTGGGGGTGAAGCCTGCTACAGTTGAACGCCCATCCAAGAACGGCCCAGAAGTCCTGCGCACGCTGCCATATGCTGTCCTCGTTGGCCAATTTGTTATTGCCGATCTGATCCCCGTCGAGGTCCTCGTCCTCCTCGTCGTGGTATCGGTTCCTACGGCCGTACTGGACCCCGTGGAACTGGAATGCGTTCCTGAAGCCGGCGTTAATGGGCCCAACGATGGCAAGCAGGTTGCGCAGGTAGTCCAGCGTCTGCGAGCAGACCTCGAGACGATCGGTGCCGGGTGCTCGGGTCGTATGGCTCGGGTGGATGGTCAGAGTGTTGAGGAGAGCGAGGTGGGTTAACGGCGGGACAGGGACGGGCTTCTGGCTGGCGCTGGCCTTGCGTGAGTAACCGGCGGTGAGAAGGCTGTTGTATAAGCCAAGTGCACCATTGTCTAGAAGGTGGTCAGCGCATAGCGCGAGGGGAAGGGGGCAGCTTGCAAACGTACAGAGATGCTCTTCCAGGTAGATCTGGCAATGCTCTTTCAGCTCGCGGGGGAGCAGGCTCGCGGGCGCGGACATGCGTTTGGGGGATGCAGGGCCTGTGGGAGTCGTATTTTCAGAGGCAGCGGCCGGTGATTGGAAGGCTGTTCTGAATGAGTCTGGCGATGATACGGCAGATAGATCCGTCAAGGACGAGGAGAGCTCCATCGCGAGTTGCATGGGGCTTAACGCGTCTGACAACGCGGTTGGAAATGTCCCACTGTCGTCAATTAAAGTCGGCTCGGACAGGGGTCCACGGAGGCCCTGGTAGCCTACGGTACCTAAAATTCAGAACCTTAAATTACCCAAGGTACCTTCAAGCAGGACCTGTCGCCCCATCTGGCGCCACTTGGCACCACCTTCAATGCCATCGCTCTCCTCCTGGGTGCTGTTCAGCAAAGCATATCAACCCCATGTCAAGCTCCCCAAGTTTGGAAACGTCCACAAACAATGGCATTAGTAAAGGGATAGAAGATATTCGTTAAGCCAGCTTCAGGAAGAGGTGGAGCATGGGTAGGTGAAGCGAGCTGAGACGATTTTTAGTGACGAACACGAGGGATTCGATGACGCTGGTCAAGGTTCGGTTCTCATCCAATGTCCTGATCGACTTGATGGACGAGATGCTCGGCATAGCTAAGGTACTCATGGTATGAGTTTAAACGAATATAGACAAGATCGGGAGTCTCCCTTGTCACGATACAGATTAAGAGAAGATGAAAATATAATTTGAAGCGCCAGATGCAGCTTATTATATTGGCCACCCGAATTTCTACGGAAGATACTGAGATACCGCGAGAGGGCAGCTACAAGCCCGTGTATTTTCTCTGCGTGCCGAGATATTTCTTCTGAGAATCGGACATGAAGACGGTCAGGCAATGAATGGCCTGCGAGTTTAAAAGACTACGGGCATGTACAACCTCGTCAAGATGACCAGTTGCTTTCGCAAGCCCTCATCTGATTTATTTCAGCACTGAACGCGTTGATGGGTACTCTGACCCGTCTCAGAAACATTTTTTGCCATGGATAGAGCCTCCTACCCCATTTTCAATCATTCCTGACGAGTGACCACTCTTGTAGTTGGCACAAATTATTCAACCCACAACATGAATCAAATCCACGGGACTCTGGGGCATGTCCTAATGCATAGTTACAAGTTGGTTTTCAATGTTGCGACGGGATCATATGGTAAATCGCGGCGGATCACACAGGTGCTTGTGGCTAAACCTTCCGCTTTCTCAACATACATTGAATCATCAAATCAGGAAATTTTGTGTTTCCTTATTATTTGTCATGGCAATCAATCGGGTTCTGCTTGCCACAGCTTCCCCTCAAAACTTTATGTTTCTGGCGAAACCAGAAGTCAGGATCCATTACCTTCATGCATATTGGGTGTTTCGTATTTTCTGTAATTCATCTATGAACACTCGATTGTGTGATAAAAGAGCTGAGCACTGGTAGACGATGCATCAGCGGGCGATTTAGCTTGGTGAGCTCAGCGGTCAGAAACTACAGGATTATTCCTTGGATGCCCCAAGCACAACCTGCTTGCCAAAGGGGCTGTTCTGATGCCAACATCACTTAAACTCCCCGCAGACCTCTCCAACCGTGTCATTCTCTCCATAGCAGATGGCGTATGCTGTCTTGGCAAATCCTCTCGCTGCCTCGCATAGCTCAGGGGCTTCAGTGTCGTACGCCTGGGACATGACGAGGAAGGCCGTCACAAGGCGCTCGGTAGGGTGACCCCATCTGATGATCTTCAAATGTGGCTTGCCGGATGTGTTCCCAGGAGGATTAGCCTCGATGATAAAGCCACCATCTTCGAGGCATTTGATCATCAACTCGAGAGCTTCAATGGGTTTTCCTCTTGCCAATCGCTTCTGTCCAAGCGTAAGGTGTAATTCACAGAGCTCCAAACGGTGTGTTCCTTTACCGACGACGTAAGTTCCCTCGAGCTGGCCCAGAAGCTGCTGTGCCTTGGATTCCTGGGCTAGAGTCTTGCAGGTCCGCATGGTGCTCTTCAAGTCTCGGAGAAGCCCTTGGCGTTTCTGAAACGTCTGCTTCGAGACTGACTTCTTCTCTTCACACAACTCACATCGGCATATAAAGTCCCAGTGCTGAAGGTTCTTCTGAGTCTCTTTATAGCTCGCACCTTCATCGGGCGGCCGGTAGCTCATCAGCAGCTCCGTGTCGGCATCCATGTCTCTCGAGGCTCGCACAACCATCATGTCTCCAATAAACGAGCGGCGGCAGTTGCCGACACACGAGTGGTTAATGTGGGAAGCTAGGCTCCAAATGCCGCAGGTGGTGTAGCTTTTCTTCTGACCTCCCGTATTTTCCCAGTTGAGGATGGACGCTCGTGGGGCGCCGAAGCAGTTAAGACCGACGGTCGTCGCTACAAGAAACCTGCGTCACAGTTAACGACAAAGACTCAAACATGGCTAGTGAGATATCCACTGACGTATCAACTGCAGAGATACTCTGCTCTGTAGTTCCTCCTGACCGGTAGTTCCCGCGGTGCAAGTCGGTGAAACGCGAGGCAACATGGGGGTTGTGGTGCAGCTTCTGTACAAGGCTGGAAATGAGATCTGCCTGCCCGCCCATCGTCATCCTCTTCGAGTCCAAGCTCATCAATATCTTGACGTTCTGGCGACTGATGACATCATCTTCACCAGCATAGTTGTATGCAAAGGCTTTCTCGCAAAGAAGAAGATCACCGGCCTTGACTGCCTTTGACGTAAAGAGTCCTCGTCCACGCCCAGGGGAGTGGCGCACCTCGACAGGACCAGTATAGGTCGCGCAGTCGATCACAGGTGGGGTGGCCTTGGCTTGGTTGTGCATCTGCCTCCACTGGTAGATGCCCTGATCTTGCTCGGAAATACGGGACAAGGTCCGCTCGAGCTCCCTCTTTGCGTCTCGGTTGTCGGGGTTCAGAGAGACTACTTGTCGCAGCTTCTCACAGCAGAGCGAGAACTGTTCCAGCGCGTAGTGGGCCTTGGCTTCCCGGAAGAGTCCTTTTTCGGTTGGGTTGCCATTCTCCTGGCTTTTGGCAGCGTCGTCCAGTGCATTTTCCGGGCGATGAAGCCTTAGATTTGCCAAGGACCGGTTGAGGAGCGCTGCGCATTTCTGTTCAAGCGTGGCAGCGGAGGCGAGTGCCTTGGAGTATCTAGTTTGAAATCAGCAATGCTTCTTCAGATGGTCCTCCCATGTACTCACAAGATCTCTGCTTTTCCCCAATTTCGCTGTCCCACGGCGGCATTTCCCTGCTGCCGAATCTCCTCCGAGCTGCCACCGGTTTTCAGATTCCTCCACTGCGCCGGGATGCGTTCGTCGCCCTCGGGCAGTAGGGTGATGTCGCCCACGTGGTCCACCCGTAAGCTATATTTGCCATCGGTCGTCACCTTGAAGAATGGGTCCTTTATAAGGCAGACGCTACCTTCCGGGAGTACGTCGTCGGCTTGCATCACCGTCTGATCTGGTTGGTTGTAGAGTTGCAGCAGGACAGCAGTGCCTTCCTCATCTTCCGCAATGGCCATGATTGCATTCATCTGTTCCGTGGGCGTCATCGTTCGAATGATGACTCGCTTGCCTCGATGATGCTCTTCCAATCTCATCTTGGAAATTGGCAGAGGCTGCAACTCGTTTGCGGGTTGGAGGCAGGGGAGATATACCGGTGGAATTTGACTGGTTGCGAAATTCGACTGTCCACCTGAAACTGCTGGGCGTGATAGAGACATTGATCTTGCCATCATGAACTGCATCACAAGCATGCTGGGCAGAGGGTGATCGTGAGGGATCTGCCCCTTTCTGCGGCCAGCTCGCTCCGCGGCTACTCGGAGCCGTTCCATGAAGGAGACAAAGTCGCCGACATCAGAAACATCCTTGATGTCCATGACGCTTGGGAGATGGGAATCCCTGCCGATATTGATCTTGGTAGACGATACAAAATTCGCAGATACTTGCTTTGAGGTGAGTATGGTGGGTGATGTGCAAGAGGAGAAAGGAACTGCAACAGCGGGATTTTGTTTGGCTTGGAGATTGATGCATACGCGTTGGAGTATTTATATGTTCGTTGGTTCTCATGCAGGAGGCCGACTGCCTGACAGGGTTGTTGCAAGACACACCTCGGTGGCTACGTAGTGCCTAGCCTAGATGGGCGGAACATTATAACATTTCAACGATGAATTCACGGTGGAAAGAGATAGAGTCAATCTCAGCCAATTTGGGTATGTTGGAACGTGACCAGGCGTGGTCAGTCCGCACAGTGGTTTCCTATTGGGGACCTCCATGACAAACGAAGATGACGGTGAGGGTGAATTCCGAGCGGAAATTCGCACCCACAGACGGAACTACAATCTTGACACATTACTCTGGGTAGCGATCAACTCTGGAGAGAGTCTTGCTCATTATGAACAAGGCTCGGCCTTGCGACGATGCCAAAGGCTAGAGTAGGTATGTGACTGTTGACTGTCGCTATTACGGAAGCTGTTGTACTTAATGACGTCCTTATACTACTAATATGGCTCCATGGAATGCCTTACTTGAATTTATGTATTGAATTTACGATCTCTATGTATTAATATAAGTCCAGTATTGGCATCTCGATCAATGGCTATGTGAAAAATATTGCGACTAATGCGGGATTGTGTATACTTACCTCTCTCTCATCCCAAGCACACTGTTAACGTGAGAAATGAGCTGGTCAACTAAAGTATCAAATGAAAGAGATGATGAAGTTGACAATGCCGAAGGGCTGTTTACAGGGGAAGCCGACGACGAGTGCTCGTTGCCAGGTCTTTCCACTAAATCAGGTGGTGGTGTTACTTCGCCACGATATGCCTACCCCTCATTAACCCACGCACCAGAGGCTTCCAGCGTTTTCCATCACCCAACATCATCTGAACACCAAATTGCCGATAAGTCAAAGAGTCCTCCTGCGTACCTTAGAAAGCGCCATACCAGGATAAAAGCATGTGACTTGTTTGGCTGTGCATAGTTTCGGTCACGTTCAGCCCGGCAAAGCCGAACTTCAAGTTTGAGAATCACCGTCCTTTTCCAAGGCTTCCAACACCCAACATGTGATTGAGTAGAAGGAATAGAGTCGCATGTAGAACTTTATATTAAATAGACATCGTTGCATCGTTGTAGTGCTGTGCATAAAAAGAGGTTATGTAATATCGACTCTAATAGGAACGACACCGCAGCAGTGGAGAGCACTCAACAGGTGGGCACCCATGTCTATAATGCACTCAACGCACCGAGCAGTCTTACGTATATCTCAGTGTTCCAAAGATGCAGCCTGAACCTCCTCTCAAACGACCGCTGAGTCTCGTCATCAGAGACCCGCCAGACGACAACGAGTGGCCCGACATCCCGCCACTCCCACTCCCACCTCCTCTAAGCCCCCTTCCCGAAGGGCGCACATCCATCAAAACGACATATCACGATTGCCTAAAGCGGATGAAGGATGCCTGGCATTGGTTGAAAGGATTATCCACTCGCTGGAGAAGGGGTGGCCACTAGAGAGGCTCCGTAGCCGCACGGAGGGCGTGTGCGTGTGCGTGCGAGTGTGTGTATATAGGTCGATTTCCGCCTGTAGATGCCTAACAGAGATGCTGTAGCCTCCCTCTATATCGTGACCGTGAGCCTAGTGTGTACCCCTCCCCTATCCCAGACCCATCCTCGTCCTCCAATAATCATGGCAAAGAAATGTCCCAAACGCCCCTCTGTATGCAAGATCCCGCAGCGGTCTTCAGGGCTGCGCAGGTACACATGCTCGCCTGTGCCCTGCAGCCCTATGCCCGTCATCGTACTATTCTGAAATAGAGACTATCCAACCCGTGACCCATCCTCTGATAAAAGTACAGTTTGTGTGTTCGAGCCAATGGAGCGCCGTGAGGCAGACGACATGCTCCTGTTGAGTAGTATCGCCTCTTTCATGTTGTGGATATTCCCGTATACGCCGTCAATAAGGACATGTTTGTTTTGTTGTTTCATGATCATGTCGATTGACTTGGCTTATTGACCAGGGACTGTCGAAGGGTTAGTACAAGAGGCGTCATGGATAAGGTACGAACAACTCACTCGGGTCAACGGGGAAAGTGGTGGGATCGCCCTCGCCTTGCTTGAAAGACATCTTGGGGGCAGCGTAGGTAGCGGTAGTGTTCATGTTGGCGGTTGGATTTGCGGTAGATATGAGTCGAAGTAGGATGAAGCAGTATATGACTGGTGGTTTGAAGTGTAGTGTGATGAGTCTGTTGGCGAAAAAGGAGGACCAAGGCATCAAGGTCTTGTTCGCCATTTATATCCAACGGTCCAACAAGTGAACCTCACATTTGATCCAATCCTAGGTTGGTTGAGTCACGCTCGAGGCAGAATGCCTGCGAAGGCAGACAAGACAATTCCGAGAGGTTCAACGACTTAGTGCACCCTAGTCGTGACAAGTGACGGTGCACCGCCATGTCGAACGTCAAAGTTGACATTGACATAGTGTGGAATTGCCATATCTCTGCGCGCGGTTGCGCATTCTCGGTATGGCGATCCTGGTTCGGTAGCAACGAAATTCCTAAAAACCCAGGCAATTGCGTAGTCTGATTCGTCTACGACGTGGGTGTTCAACATCTAAGCCTGGATGCCTTAGCATCGCGTATCAGATATTGGACCCCTATCGACGTGTAGGGCCGGCCGCAGTGCAAGGCAGATCAAAGACAACCGCCCAGTGAGTCAGATCGGTGCAACGGCAGTGAAATCTACCAGGGCATATGGCCCCTCCTTCCTGGAATGGATGAATTCAAAAGATTTATCACAGCGGCCTCAGAAACAAATCGACGTTCGCGGACATGGAGGGGTTGGGAACGACTCGGTTGCCTAGGAAGAGACGTGCTTGGTGACGGGGGTGACATGGGGGTCCTGGACGGTCTGAGGCAGCAACCCCCATTTTTTTTCAGGCACGAGGGAGTCCTCCAGCTTGAAAGTAGTGCTTTTCGGCGATGAGAAGAGGGAAATAAATCCAACGCCAGCGGAGAGCCAAGTCTCTTCACGAGCAATCGCATGTGCGCGCCTTTGCGTGTGACTGACCAAGGCACCGAGTTGCTCATTGTCTGCGGGCGTGGCTTTGCGCCTCTTTGTTAAACGTCGAGGGCGCAAACGCGCCTTTGCGCGGTTGGGGGAGGGATTATGAAGTGCGAAACGGAACAACAATGACAAAAGAGAGGAACGTTGGGGCAATGCTGTCACTGCCCGTGTGACTGATATCGGACAAACTGGGCGACAACGGACATGCATTACTTGCTCCGGTGTTGAGTCGAGCGCCCAAGGCTGACTGGAACACTGGCCGGTGAGGCTTACGGTACGGAGTCATTGGAAAATTCGGAGTATGTCGGAAATCAATCCTCCATTGCATTTCTCGGTGAAGGGCACCGTCATGATTGACGGAACCGGGACCCAAGAAACATGGTTAGGAGGCACAGCCCAGTTTCCATCTAGCACTCAAACTGACCGAACCACAAGTGGAAGAAGTTACGTCGAGATCGGTTGATTATTTTGGTGCGAAGTGTGTGAAGAGGAAAAGAGCTGCAGACAGGGGAAAAGGTGGTCCGCGAAGCATTTAGACGTGTCGTTGCCTACCCGCCGGCTGCTTAGCTAACCGGTATGCTGCCTAAGCTTGAGCCAATCAGGGCTAGCACGTCGTGAAACCTCGTGACACTGGAAAAAGGTGGTGTCCCCACAATCACAGGACCTGGTTTTTCGCGCAAAGTATATTTTCACGCTTCCCGCCTCCCTTTTCCCGACTCTTGTTCTTCGACAGCATCAACAACGACTTCGCGGGCCACCCAACTTTCGAGTTGCGGATCTTATGCATGATCCTTTTCAGCATTACCAAGGGCGTTAGACTGTCTCGTGATGTCGCAAGGCAGTCTTCGCCTCGGTTTTGAACCAATCCGTTACCGATGACCTCGAGCAAGTGCCGAAGCCAACTCTCACGGACGCGTGCGCGAGCAAGTTCTGATATGCGTTGTTACACCGGTCCGATGACCGAACCCCACGATATGCCTACACCTCGCGATCTCAGTGCGCAAGAGTGTCAACTACTTTTTATTCGTTCGAGTGGGAGAACAAAACCAACGGTCTAGACAACCGGTCCGCTCCACCCTGATACCGTCGAGATAGTGCGGCTTCAGGACTAAAATCGGACGAACATATCACAGGGCAACTCGCAAGAGTTGCAAACGGTGTTTGCGCTCTACTCAATATGATCGGCATTATTCTAGTAGAGAGGCATTATAACCCAACCGATGCCATCCGGTTGTGGCTGTCCATCAGGTATACATATAGGGTATTTCGACAACGTTTGCGCCAAAAATCTCAACCTCTTGTCATCCATGTCGCGTCGAATCATTGTAGTCAAAACCAATTCTCGCCAAAAATATGCTTCTCGTCACTGAAAGACAACAAGAACTTGGCTGCTAGCCGGCCGGTATAGTTTGCAGATACGTCGCGTGGGAACGGGTGCTGCTCGCCGCAGGTCGGGAGAATTGGGTCCATCGCCAAGAGTTCGAGTTCACCGCCTGTAGGTTGCAAGTCAGCATCAGCGATTCAACTATGTCTGGAGAGAGCCTACCATTCTCTTGGATCAGATTGTTTAATTGCAAGACCATCTCCGTGGCCGGCCTGTCCAGGTCGCCTTGCTCGGCCCACGAGTTGTTGAGCATGGGATTGAACGGCTTGGTCGCCGTGTCCCGGCTGTGGGTCTGGTAGATCTGGTGAAATTGGTACGCGAACTGCTTGAACGGCATGTTCTCGACCTCCTTATTGATGTTCAGAGCGTCCTGGCGTTTGTATTCCGGAGGCGTGTGGTTGCGCAGGCTGATCTCGTTGAGGGCCACTACAAAGTTATCCGCGGACGTCTCGACCGATTCCATGAAAAGGCACAGTACCAGGAATGAGGCCATGCAAGGCGCCCATTCCCGTTTCGACTTGGGCTTGAGCGACTTGGAGAAGGACTCGAAGAGGTGCTGCATGTCCCTCATCAGGAGTTCGTCGATTACCGCCTTGATCTGCCTGTTGACCACGCGCGGTGTCACCCAGGGTACTTCTTGGGGGACAAGACCAGAGTCCTGAAGGCTCACGACGCTCTGCCGTGTGATGCAGAGGTGGCGAGTCATGACGAAATGGGCGCCGTATATCGCCAATGCCTTCTTGACCATCGAGGACTGGAGCGGGTCAACCAATGCTCTTCAAAGAGACAACCACCTGGCAACTTACATCAGACTTGTTGGCGTACGTCTGCACAATATCCAACACTTTCTCTGGCACCTTCGTGTGCTGTATTGACTCCGTCACTGACATTGCGAACCTGGGCTCGGCTGCAATGGCGGCGAGATACTCCTTCACCTTCTTCCTCAAGGCCTCCCTCTGAGACGCCGAGTCCAGCTCCAATACCATTGGCGCCGAGCCTCTGGCTTGCAGGTCTACCCGGTCTCTTTGCACGTGCAAGTGGTAGTGCTGCTGCACGTCCGCCGTTCGGGGCTTGAAGAACCTCGCCCGAACCTTGAGCGACGCTGAGAGGCCAGAGAAGAGCTCAACCTCGCAAGGAGCCAATTGCACCGCGTCGACGTCGACATTCTCCGCCATGAACTTTGACATCTGGTCCTTGCGGAAGTGGCTGCGCATAAAATCGGGGAATAACACTGTCAAAAAGTCGGAAAACTGCCAGCAAACGACCTGCGGCACCTGGCCGGCGAGCTTTTTGCAGCTCTTGCATGGCCTCTGCGAATCACACTTGACTTTGCGGCTGTGGCAGCAAAAGCAAGCACCCAAGCGGCGGACCTGAAGAGCGCTCTCCTTTGTTGCGTTTGCCAGGGGACCTTTGCGACCACGCGTTTGCGTCTTCATGGCTTCGAAGCACTCCCAAGGGTTGGGCCGGCCTGAGTGGGCGTTGATGGAGTTTGGAGTGACGATGACGAATTTGTTCGCAGGTTCAGTAGCCTTCTTTTTTTCGACCTTGCCGGTGATGACCTTGCGTATCTGGCTGGCCGAAGCCGCCTTGTCGCCCTCGTGCTTGAGATCTGGGGAGTTGGAATTAGACTGAGAGGGGCTCGTGGACGTGGAGCTCTGAGAAGAGGAAGCAGAGAAATCCTCCATCAAGAATATTGAGCTGCCATTATCGACTTTGAGGGTCGTGGGGTTCCATGGGCCCGGGTTGCTGCTGGGTGATAGAGTCTGAGACAAGTCGATATCGCCATCGTACTGCCGTTGGGGGAATGTGTCTAGGCCGGTCAGAGGGGCGTTGTTCGAGTGGAATGAGTTGACGAAAGTTGTCAGTTCTGAGATTCAAGTCAGTCAGTTCGAGTACACAAATGAATCAGCCACGGGTGGCATTTGGACTGACCGCTTAGATCCAACTGCTCCTCTGCAAAGAGGAAGCCCTGCGGCGTCAGGAAATTTGGTTCCTGAGCGCCAGAAACGAATTGGCTATCAACAGACGGCGCCGGGGCGGCAAGGGCCTCCGCTTGGTCCGGGAAACTAGAGGCGGCGAAGGCGGGCTGATCGAGGTCGAGATTTAGCGGGGATAGGCCCGCCGGGTCCGAGCTGGCGTGGTGGTCGACGACTGCGAAGCCGTTGAGGCTGCCGCTGGCCGGGCTGGGCAGGAAGCCGACTGAGGCCGGATAGGAGGCGTAGTCGAGATACTGCCACGATTCTTCGGTGTCGGCCGCGGACTGCACATCGTAAGGCGAATGAGGCGTAGGGCCTCTTGAAGAAACAGAGGCCATTATGATATCCGTGAATTGGCAGGACGTGTAAGTGGCCAAGTGGTGAGTCGCCGAATGCTTTCAAGCTGCTTGGTAGGTTCGATTCGATGATTCCGTAGCCCCTTTTGGTTCTTCAAAACCGCGCAACAGGTCCTGGTTCCCTCCAACGTCGAATGGCCAGGTGTCCGGGGTGGCTGTGTGTGCTTACGCCCAATCTCGGAATTGGCGCGGGGGTCACTCGTTGCATAAGCGAAAATGGCAGGACTTGTCTTTCTTGTCTTTCTCCCTTTCAACATTTGACAACTCGGAGTCGCGTTTCGATTGTCGTCGGCCGGACTCGAGCCGAAGTCATCAATCTTAGGATTCGTCTTTTTCACCCTTTGACCGCTCGGGAAGTCATGCAGGAGAGCGGGAACGAAGGGAAGGCGGTGCGGAAAAGGGCTGCCAACAAGATTAATACGAGGGGGGGGACAGCGCTGTCACACTCACCCCATGACAGCAGATGCGCAAGCGCATCTGTAGGGTACTTTCTTGTGGGCAACCTGTGCTGCTGATTGAGCTGGTCCCCCCAGCTGAGCCACTAGGCCCTTTCTGGGACCGAATGGCCCAGCGTCCCTCGAATGAGAATGCTCTAGCCCGATCCATCACCGGCCGCTCACCGGCACCCGGAGGTGCGGAAGGACCATTTCGCCACACCGGTGACCGAAGCTGGTTCCGGCTCCTGCAACAGAAGACGCACGTATTTTCGTGGCGACAGACATTAGATTTCAAGAAAATCCTGCTGAATCAGGGCAGAACGAGAGATGACCGCCCAAGCCTGTGCGCCTGTGAGCGTCGTGTTCTTGGCAATCGGCACTGTCCTGTTCGCTCCTCCACCCAACCTGACATCACCTGACGAGAGAATGAACAATGGAACACCAAGCCGAGGTCGAGTGTATTAAAAAGACTGTTTTTCTTATTCAATTCTGACAAATGCCTCAGAGACTGACGGCGAAGCTCGCACCAGCGAACCGGCCCGAGCTCCGAGACCCTTGACAATCGACCGTCAGTCAACATTGCATCCCGCTTCCCGTCGATATCAAAATCCCCAGCAGTCATAACATCAAGCCTCGAGGGCACATTGACTCGAACCAACCTCCCACACTCCGCGACTCCGCGACTCCACGTCCCATCGTTCCTTGCATCATGAACCGTCTTCAAGCATCCAGCTGCATGCATGCATCAGAGAACAAACGTCCCGGATCTACCAGAGTGGATAAGCTCCCAGCCTACCTGCGCTCGACCTTTTCTCACACGACAGCACCGCGAAAATGCCAGCGCTAATTTACGTATACCTGCGACCAACTACAATGTCGAGTCCGTCGGACTGATCGTCTTGCCTTGCCTCCCCTCTCGTATGATCAGAGTAGCACCATCCTCCGCCAATATAAGGTTTAGCGCGCGCGGCGCTTGACTAGGACTTAGACGCACAACGCACGCCCATCCGTCTGTTCGCAAGCCATACAACAAGCCCCGTTCGGTGCGGAAGCTAAACGGTCCCATGCCGGCCGGCACGGCATCCCCGCTGACGCCGGTCTCCGAGGTTGCATATCGCCACATGCTCCAAGGGGGGAGAATGAGAGGGAAAGGCTGGTTTTTCTGAATTTTGTGCCGCTCCCGTCGGCATCCTGCCGTCTTTCCTAGCTTGCTTCTTTCCTTCTCTGTGTAGCTTGCCCGGCACTATACAAGGGCCAGCGCTATCTCTCGGAACCCGTTGACGGCTAGCGGAATTGAAGGCAGATTATCCAACTACTGCAGGCCGGCTATAGCATCGTCGACTATCCCATCATCGATCCACCCCGACCCGAAACTAGCTTTCGCGCCTCGAAACAATGATTCAGGATCCCGAGTCCGAAAATGGCACAGCGCCCTCATCACAGACAGGAGCACGTTCCAACGCTGCCCGGGTATACCCAGGGAGCCGGGTGCCTGGACGAACCCCCTTCTCTCACCGCGTCCCCCCCAATGCACTTGGGTTACCCGCCACTTCAGGTCGACGTAGTGGGAGAATGGTCCCACGATAGAACGCCCAAACCACCACAACCATGACCACACACCACCTGTTCTGCCACACAGCTCTGCTTATTCACTTTATTGTCAGCCAGGATTCGAAACCACCTTCCATCGGACTCTAACGTTCTTCCAGAATTCCCCTACTTTCGCATCCCTGTTTCTCTATGCCTATGGGCTTTGTTCTTATTCTCTTCCCAGCACCAGCCTGGCTGTTCTCGCCGTGGGACATGCCCTACCTGCACCGATAGGAAGGCATAGAGAACCCCATCTTCTACAGCCATGTGTTAATCGGACGCCCTTATGTGGGTGGTAGAACTGGAGAAGACAACAGATAGGGCCCAAGACAGGACGTGGCCTTTAGCCTCTCTGCCGTGTGCCTGGTTTGCTTGTCATTCTTCAACACGATCACACCAGTCCCACTGGCAACCTCATTGCATGCTTGCCTCTATGCAACCCTACCAATCACCGGAAAACGCAAGTCTCGATCATGCTATCCATCGGCTCTTTGCCTCGCCTTTGACCTGAGTTGTCAAGGGCGGCACGCGGCGCAGTCCGACGGGATTCCGTGCGACGCGCAGATCGCATCCCCTTCTTTCCCATCTGTCTACAATTCACTTTTTCAACAGCCTGCTCACCCTCGGTTTCACCCATTCGCCTCCCCCCCTGCCGCGGCCCTGCCCCTTCTACCCCGGGAGACCCATCAAGCGGGATGCGACACAACGGTCTCCCCATTGACTAAAGGGCTCCTTGGATCATTTTACAGTTTGCGTTCCCCGTTCTGGGCCCAATGACAGGATAGCTCCATCGATCGCCGGTGGTGGCCCTTGGAGGTCTTTCCCGCCCAAGTCACACCCGTCAGGCACGCAAGCAGGACCCCGTCGGCTGATGATCACCACTCATTTCAGCCCAACCCAAGCGCCGCCGGGTGTGGGGGAACAAAGTTGCAACGATAGGATAGGAGGATAGGGGGAGAGCCGATGAAGACTTGGTTCCTGCCACGCTTTCCTGCAGTCCTGGCTGGCATACCGGATTGTAAAGCCAGATAGGTAGCTTTGACTGCTGGAACATGCGCAGGGAAGACGAGAGAGCCCCCGTCCTCCACTTGACGGCACGAGGCAGGAGTCGTGTGACGAACAGAGTGCCTCAAGTGATGACGTTTACAAACTGGATATCGGCACATCTGAAGAACACTGCGTAGATTCTTGGCGCTGAGAGAGCGCGCCCTGCCATCTGGACTATACTAGAGCATATCAAATTGCCAAAGGTTCATCTAAGCCGCCCAAACCACTTGAGTAGGGAATAAAATAATAGTATAATAGAGATATGTCCAAACCGCTCTTTCGTGAACCGCATAAACAGAGACAGACGCACAAGCATGGAAAAAACGTGTCAGACAGCCAACCGGTAGCCCAGTGTGAGTGAAGGGCGTCGAGATATAATAACCCGGTGAAACAACTCCAGTCCCCCAAACACTCCGTAGCAGTGCTAAAACGAGTAGCAAATCACAAGAACAACAAAACCGATGTACAAAGAGGGTTCCGCCCTTCCCGATGTACCTGTAGCGCCCACCGCTTCCCTGTAGCATGCTCATGCCCTTTTCGGTTGCGGAGCCAATCCGTAAAGGGCCGAGAAAGGTGTGTCGTATGCGTGTGTAAAGCGGCGCTTCAGTTGAAAGTCCTGGGAGCCGCAGCAATGAAGAGGGTTGTCTGCCCAAAACGAGCACCATTACCATTTCTCGTACAAAAATCAGGCAAAAAAATAAAAATAAACAAGACGCAACTCGTTTTGCCGAGAGGTGGAGCGTAGAGCCAAGCTAGAGCCTCTGTGGGTGTTCTCCCGCGTCGTGCCTTTTAGGGAGCTGTCGTCCTATTGACGTCCCGGTTCCGTATCAAGAGTCATCTGCTCCTTCTTTTCTTCTTCTAAAGAATGAGGTGGATTCCGCTCTTCTGCAATAACTTCCAGTTCGTAAGGTCCGTAAAATGTCATTAACAAAGTGCCACGTTGGCCAACCACGGGGGTTGTCGAGTTCGGCCAGGGCGAGTAGGTAGTAGGAGGAAGCGCGTGAGCACACTAGCTTCTAAACCGCTGTGCAGCGCGATCTTGAATCTGCTTCTCCGTAGAAACGTATAGTCGGTCGAGGTAGTCCATGGCGCTAGCGTCCTTGAGGATCTTGGCCACCTGTATGCCCGCCGAAATGAGCTGTAAAATATTGCGATCGTCCTTTAATGGGCGACTCTGGTGCTTGGCCGCATGCCGCATTTCCAGTGAGTTCTCCAGGATCGTGACGAACTGCTTAATTTGGCCATTGTAGAGTACCCGCGCTGGGATGCGGCGCTTCGTTGCTAGACGCTTCAAGAGGTAGACCCATTCTGTCCATTCCCGGTCCTGGGGTCGCTCAACAGGTCGCATGTCTTGTGTCAAAGGAATAGGGAACTGGTACTTCGCCACAAAATCGTATGCACACTGCGAGAGCCTGTCGTTGACCTGGGTGAGGACCAAGTCCTGCTCTTGGACGTGGAGATTGGTGGGGAGATGAGGCAGTTCGCGTTCTTGCATAGCGATGTACTCTGGCGGCGGGCGAGCGAGAAACTGATGCGGACCGTCGAATTCGTCGCGGTTAGAAGGTCGTCGTTGTGGCCGGCCCTTGCCATTCACCTTGCTTTTACTCGGAGGGGTGGCGCTGGCCCCGTTCTCGAGGGAATAATCAGACAGGTTCGGAGATGCAATAATATCGTCGACCGAGTCCGTTGGGGAGTATCTTTCCTGTTGGTCCCATGACTGGGAATTCGTACTCTTGTACGACCCATAGCCGGCGGCACCACTGGTGCCGTACGTACCAGAAGCTGGTCGCGATCCGTACGCCGGGGCGGCGGCGGCAACAGCATGAGGATTGGTCCCGATCGGCAGGTTGTAGTTACTAGCTCCTGGGGAGTATGTGGACACGCTTGAAAGGGACGGTGTTACTGGCTTGCTCCTTTGTGGAAAAACATCATAAACAATGACGTCTGGCTCTTACCTCGATGAACGGTAGTAGTTGGTATCGAATCCTCCGGCAGGCGGGAATGTATCGTTGTACATTGAACTTTTCTCAACGGTCAGTCAACCCTCCCTTGGGTGTTTGGAAATAAGGAGAGCGGTCCGTACCTCCGCGTCGAGTTCCACGGTCCGTTGGACATGGCTGATGGTCTGTAGGCAAAATCCGGCTGGGCCATATCTTCCGGGGGCATAACGGTAGAGAGAAAAGAAAATCAGGCAGTAAAAACTTTGAAGGTATCCAAAGTGTCCAGAGATGGAAGCCACGTGAAATATGAATAGTCCTTGGGCGGGCAGGTCAGCCCTGGGTGTCCAAAAAGGGTCCCTTGGGCCGTGATCTTCGGCCAAGTATTCCTGGGAAAATGCGGCAAGATGTCTCTTCATACACAAGGGAATCCACGATAACAAAAATGGTCTTGTTCCAGGATGGGACCCTTGAAGAACTCCGGGTCGTTGCAAGGGCGGTGTGTGCGTGTTGGGGGGTAAGCAGGTGATCGGTCCAAGAAACGACCAGTCTCCACGAAGACACCTTAAATGACTTATAAGACGATCGGGAATGGCTTGACGTGAAAGACACTAGGGGTTAGTGGGAGATGTCTGATCTTGCTGGCGCAAAACGGGAAAGAAGAAACCAACAAGCTCCTGGGATGGACGAGGATGGGGAAGCGGGCAGGATCCTGACAGTGGATGATTAAGTTCGGAATGGAGGCATTTATGTCTGCTTGCGATGTCCTTCCTCGTGGGGCGTTGTACTGGAGCGGCAACAATGGTTGATCCCGGTCAAGACAGCAGAAAGATGTGGTCCGTTGGGAAGTCGAGGCGAAGGGAAGACAGGGACCAGGACAGACGCAGGCCAGCGAGACTCGAGTAAAGATTTGCATTCGCCCCAATGACCAACACCGCGGAGACGTCTTTGGTTTCAAGCGGGACGGCTGCCGCATGGGCTGGAGGATACGTGACTGCCAAGCGCTGTAGTCCAGAAGGTTCATCTGTCGGGCGTCCTGGAATAAATTGGTCGATGGTGGGCGCCCCAGGACAAGTTGGTACCCATCCCTAGCTTGTCGAGCCTGGTACGCGGCGTGGATCGTGACGACACGCGAGTGACGAGGGGGATCAGCGTGCCCTTCGATTGATGGTGCCCTTCCTGTCCCCTCTGTTTTTGCGCGATGCCAGGTCGATTTTTTTTTTTTTTTTTTTGGACAGTTGGCCCCTCAGTCAAGGAATACCCCAGAAGGAAGACCAATCTTATGGCCGGCCTGTGTAGGCTCACGCGTGGGAGCCATTGGATGTGCCAACTCTTGACGGAGGACGGAGCCAGTTGTGTAGAGTAGGGCACCGATTGGGCTGTGACAGAAACTTTTCCTTTGCTGGGCTGGAGGATTGTTGCCCGAAAGGTCGGAGTAGCTTTTCGGTACCGGATGGGATGATTTGTGCAGGGTTGTACCTAGCGGGAGAAGAAGCGGTGACAACAGGCCGGGTTGGGCACAAATTGGACAAGCAAACACTGACGGCCGATACGATGAGGGGACGCGCGCTACGTGCGAAATGTGCGTGCCCAACCATGCCTTGATGCCCACCTGGAAAGTCGAAGTTGCTTTTGTGCATCATTGAATCAGGAACCCTCCATCCCGAATAACCCCCAGAGTGGCACTGTTCGAAAGGGCTGACGACCAGACAGCCAGCCAGCCAATCATGTAGAGCATTCGTAGACGTCCTCCGTTGTCACGCTCGTGGTGTCTCGCTCCGTTAAGTGCCGGGGTTTTCTGCTCCTTGAGCATGGCCAGATCGGTGACCTTGAGGATCTTAATGATTCGCGGAAACGGGCGAATAGTATGTGTGACCTCGATGTAGCGACGTGAAGCTGGTCACGGCGATATTGAAGCAATGAAAGGCTCATGGTTCCAGGAAGATGTTGCTGGGGATGGACAAGATTTGGGCGGAAGCGTCTGGGCCCCGCCAGCGCCAATGGCGTGCACCCCTGAGGCTTCAAGGCTGGTCGTTCGGCTGGCTGCGGGTGACTAGCCCATCGCCATCGACTTCCATCGCCAGTCAAGCGGGATGACGTGCGCCTCGGTTAACCCCAGTATCCTGGGTTGTTTTTCGATAACATCAACGATTCGAGCTTGACTGTCCCGAAACCAAGGGTGAGCAGTGATGGTCGGACGATCGCCGCAATCTCTTTGCATGATATGTCCTGAACAGATTGATCGATCTCGGGGTGCAGCCAAAGGTAGTCGAAACGAGACATAAATTGCCGAGGGGAGGAGGGGGGCAGGCTGGCTATTTCGTCCATTGATGAGCTGTCAGCCGATACCTCGTGCTTTGCGGGGATACTGCGGGACGATCAAATCGCCAAAAAAAAAAAAAAAAAAAAAAAAAGAGGCAGGGGGGGGGAGGGGGAGGGGGGGGAGGGGGTAGCCGAGAACCTGGGGTTTGGGGGGGAAAGTGGGGGAGAAAAAAGAAAAAAAAAAAAAAAAAAAAAAAAAAAAGGACATGGGTGACGTTGGCTGTTTGTTGGCATTTTCGTAACAGACGTATCGGGCTCCGGTCATCTTTGACAGGTATGTGCGTGTACTGGCAACGGCAGCTCTACGTCGTGCCATGTGCACGCGCTGTGGGATTTGGGGGAATACGCGTCGTTCGTCTGTCTATATCTGTCTGCGTACCGTGTACGCCGACATTTGTCGTTCCGGCAGCGCATTGAGACAGACTGTGTAGGGGCGGGGGGGGTTCTGTGCTGTTTCGCATGCCTCATTGAGACGATGTCTTTCTGGAGTGGACCAGATCGTGAAAGTTGGCCGAAACGCAGGAGTAAAGAATCTTGGGCTTCCCATGTTTCCGGGCATTGAGAAGGCCGGGATGTTGCGCATGACGGAGCGAAATGCGCATGACATGGCCGAAATCACAACCGGTACGCCCCACTTCAAATCTGGCGATTCGGAGGGGCATGGCCGGCTGCGTCCACCGAGTTGTCAAGGCGTCTTCGCGTCCTCGGGTCGATGCTTCGACCCCGTTTTCCGGGATAACGGCTCGAGATCGAGTTCCATCGAGAGACCCGTCACCGGTTCCTGGTCGGCTCAAACACTGCCACGATTGCCACGGCCGTTCCGATGGAAGAGGGGTCCGTCCATGGGAGCATTTTCGAACGTGCGGTCTTGTCGATGGGAACAACACCAGCTTGATTAGGTTGCGAGGATGATTCAAAGACTGACAGGGTTGACGCTCCACGCTAAAGACGACACTTCTGAATGGCAGATTGGTTCATGCCTTCTTAGCGCAAGGTATGTTGCTTTCTGGAATCTTCTCTTTGTCTCTTTGTCTCCCGTAGCTGGCGAGGAGGAAGTGTGGTTGAAGGAAGGGCACGGTCAAGGTCACGTTGTGTTGCCTGGTGTTGTGAGGAGGAGTAGGAACCCACGTCGGCGCTTGCCATTCCGTGCTGCTTGCTGGTCGATTGCCACTTCCGAGGCTCTCGAGCACAACCTCAGTGGCCGGAGAAACAACGGCAAGACGGACCAAGAACCCAGGGGCTTGGCGGGGCTGGACAGGACACTTCCTTGACCCACTAAATGGCATCCTTTGGTTTCTATTGGTCATGTCATCATGCACCTCTCGTGTAGCAACTTCCAATCACCATCAACATCACCAACCTTTTCGTCAAGACGGTTGAAGAGGCTGATTAAACATGAGGGAACCACGGATTTCTAACTCGCCAACCACGTGTGTCTCTTCTCTCATCTTCAACCTCCTGCCTGTCACCTCTATGTTGTCCCGTTTTTGCCCAGAGCCTTCCCCAGGATCTCATGCAACTGCAAGATCAATCTCGCTCTGGTCCGCATAGACGCAGTCCCACCAAGCATGGTCAATCGGCGCCGCTTCACGCCCCGGGATTGTGTGGAGAATCATTGACACCGAGGGGGGCTGAATTGATATGGCACCGCCCAAGGACCGAATACGCAAATTCCACCGTCGCAGCAAGAATGGCTGTTCGACGTGTAAGCAGCGTCATGTACGATGCGACGAGCGGAAGCCTTTGTGGTATGCGTCTGTCTCTTTCTCTCTGTCTCTATGCCCTCCTCAACTGCCCCTTGTCACACTGGAGGTCCTGTCCGTGTAGGACCGATTGAGCACCATTTCCTCCTGTGGAATGATTACCTAACATCAGCTCCAGCACGAACTGCCTGCAGACCGGTAAGGACTGCATTTATCATGAAGTAGAACCTGACCAAGAGTCCCGATCCGAGTCCCGCTTGAGGTCCGAGCCAGCCGTTGTTCCGGCCGAGGAAACCTTCCTCATTACCAATGTCGTGTCGAACCAGCCATTTGCCGGCTTCTCGTGCGACTATCAGATGTCGGCAATGTCGCAATGGCTTTGGCACCAGTGTAAGCGGTCTAGCTTGGCACTGAGATCCCTCGACTGACAAAAATTTCAGTCACTACCTTTTACGTCAGAGGCCAGACTCCAGTAGAAAGAGGCCAGAACCTATGCAGGTATGGTTTCGTTTTCCTCAATCAAGCACATCGCCAGACTAACGTCAGAAAGCGTACAGAGGACACTTTTGCATCCGGGCTTGCTCCACGGGTGTCTAGTCGTCGCGGCTTGTCAATGGGCGTGGGTCACTGGATCCCTCGAACACGTCAAGGTGCCATTTCTCTATCATAAGGCAGCCGCCTACGAATTCGCAAAGCACCAACTTTCCGAGTCTGATGACACTGTCAGCGACACGGCTATCTTCGCTATAGCTAGCCTGGCACTCACTGAGGTATAATGCCATACCACCACCTAAAGTGTTACGTTCTACGTGCTAATCACACATGCAGGGGGCGGTTGGTGATCTGGATGCCTCGTCTAAGCATTTGCGCGGTCTTCACAGATTGACCCTCCGGAAGAACGGTTACAACTTGATGAGATCGAACCTGGCGCAACAGATGCTACAGATGTGAGTGGCCTCTCCCAGTCAACATGTGACGTTGGTCTGTTAACTTACAATCTGATAGGGCTGGCGATCGCCTGCGTCTAGGGGAAGTGAACGTGATTCACGATGCCATCAGTGCCGATTTTCAGCCCAGTATCATTGCCTTGCTGTTCACTTCACTTTGGGATATGGAAAGTCTCCCGCCGCGGCAAGCACCGAGATACGGTTGGTGGGAAGGCGACGAGACACCCACAGACAGGCTCTGGCAGGACTACACCAAGCATCTAAACTGGGAGCTTTCTCGTGGGTTCGATCCAGAGCGCAACATAGCCACAATGCTCAATGGTGATCCAAAGAGCAGCAGGGCGAGCTACATCGCCACCTTTTTCTACCTCTTCATGGCGGTCAACGATAGCGAAATGGACTGCGTTCTGACCGTGTGGCTGCTAGAACAGCTCATTGACGATGTCTGTGACAAGGAGGAGGAAATGATTGCAGGAAGTTTCAGTCGCAGCTTATGGTTCTGGAGCGTCCTATTTGGAGCAGCCGTGGCTTACACAGGTAGACCGATTACCACAACGGGCATAGAACAACTTGCGAGGTGGAGGGCGATTTATGCTGCGAAACTGAGCTTGGCCAGCGACGTGTTGCAGCTCAACAGCTGGCATGATGCGAAGGCAGTACTGGCGGAAGTCGCCTGGACCGAAGGCTCAGATGCCGAGGGAAGACTGCAAGATATCTGGGACGCAGCCGTCTTGCGTCGCCAGGGTTGTACGCATCGTACCCACGGCGTGGGTGGCTGAAAATTCATGTCAACGCGGCGAGAAGATGTTCCAGCTTCCGAATCGAAATGTTCTTTTCCCTCCAATTTGCAGCCCCGTATCAAGGGCCCAAGACAATCTGTGCGTAGTTAAAAAGTTGGAGAGGTGCTCATGTACACACGACATTACCGTCGTCCATGACGGAGCAACGTTTTGTCGAGATCCGGTGTCAAGTTCTCGGTGGCCGGCTCTGAGTCAGAAAGCTGGCACACCGAGATTTGGATCGGCGATGTTGGTAGGGGGATAATGCGATGCGTTTCCCAGTTTGTTATAGCGCAGACGGGCGACTTCATATCCGAAACATGGTTTTTCTCACTGTAAAAACTAGACTAGCAGCTGAAGAAAAGATCCACAGACGTGTGCCTCTTGATTTCCCGTTCGTGTCGGCGAAGACCGCCGGGGCAAGATCGACATGATTGCCAATTGCCTCACGCTGTGTTTAAGGAGGGTTTTCGATCCGGCAGCATTTACCGAGGGACGAGCGCAGCAGAGTTCAATGGTGTGGAAAGAGACGACAGGGATGGGTCGAGTAAGAGTATCCCACTCGTGACCGGGCTCGATGGGGAATGGAAGCTGCCGAACGGGAACTCTGCCGGCACGGATGGGTCAGCAGTGGATACGGGTATTGATCGAATGATCGTCGTGCCTCAACGTCGGGGATATTCACGTGTAAGAGAAAGACAGTCCGCGGATGCAAATGCTCACAGAATGCTCAAAGAGCGAATGTGAGAGAGGATGTGTATAAATACAATCCAGCTGTCATCCACAACGTAGTTATAGTACTCCGTGATAAATAGGCAAAAGCGTTGCCAGATACCAAAGGCTAAAGCAGCCCATCGGGTTGAAGGCGGGAATGTGGAAGCCATGGCGCTGGTCTGAGGCTGCGGGTGGCTTGCGTCAAGCTGAGGGGCCGTTGTTTGTTTAGCCGACGGGGCCTTGTAGACAATTCTGGACGGCGCTGTTTCCGCTTGGCGTATCGTACCTGCCAGCTCTGCTAACGCCGTGTCTTGTCCTTCCCTCTGCCTTACCTAAGAAAAACCCCTCTTAGACAAAAGGCAAGAACCTTGCACTTGCCCTCGATCTCGACCTCAAGCTCAGGGTCTCGTTGTCTGCGTCCATCGCGGCATCGCAAAGGCCATTTCCATCCCATCGTCCATGCTCTCCGCTCGACAACGGGCGCCCCCGTCTCACGTTTCTCACTTCCCCCTCGTCCCGTATCCCATGTCAACGTCAGCTCATCAGCCATCTCGCATTGAACTGCCACACACGAGTGGTTCCCCGCGTCTCATCCTCATGCTGGCCTCAAAGTCAAGACCAAACGGCTTCCCCATCTCCAGCTTTTCGGTGTCAAAAGAGACCGAGGTGGGGACTGAAACTGCTATGCAAACTAAACATGAATTCGGACAACGAAGCAAGACGGCGTGGAGCGATTGCTGGTGATCGAGTCGAACGCCGGTGGATCGCATCGACTACTCAACATGCCGCCGCGGCGCTCCATGATACGACCAGCATGACAAGTTGGACCATGTTGTCAAGCGATCACAAGGCCACACGCTGCACGTTACTCATGCATCACGATGCAGCATCATGAAAGGAGTCGCAAATGGTTGGCGAGGACCGCTTCCGCCAAAAGCTGACCAGTCGGTACGGATAGTGACTGAAAAACCACATCGCGAAGCGCGTTTGAATGTCTTGCGGGCGTGATGGCACTGCGTGGCTGCTTGTTGTGTATGGCCGACTGACGGCGACCCGAGCCAGTGAGCATCGAACACGCCAAAATAGCTGCTGGCGGATTGTGCAAGTTGAGACGGAGACAGTCGGCCGGTGTGTGTCAGGCACTGCGGCCCGCCAACCACCGTCTCTGCTTCATCAACGCGTGAGCCGGCGGCAGACTTACACCAATCAAGCAGCCGACGACCAGGAGGTAGAGAAACATGAGGTCTACGGACTGGCGGACTAACAGGCCGGCCTCCCGCAGTTCCCGATGCTCGGCTGTGCTGCAACACCTGTCTGCTGTGTGCGCCTTTTCTCTCGCTCCGTCTATTGCCTGACTTTCTCTAGCCGACGGCATCGATGCCACCTCGGCGGGCGTCGAAAATTGATGCGCATCAAAACATTTGGTTCAAGATGGCGCCATGACTTTGATGGTCGAGACGCCTGCTGGAAACGAGTTACGGGAGCGCTGTCACGTCTGTGCGAGGAGGAAAAGGGGGAAGGTCAAGGAAGAGCCGGAATGGGGGCAACATGTTGATGGTTGGGACGAGCAGGTTCCGCGCATGGTGCGAATGGATGGGAAGATGAAGGGTCCCGGAAAGCAAGCATCAAGCCGTCGACCCGCTGCGAGTCGACGAGCTGGGCAGCCTTGTTTCTTTTCTCTCCCTCTTCTGGCCTGCTGGCCCTGCTCTTCTACCGCCGGGACGCTCGAGGGTTCTGCACAGATGCGTTGTTGGTGCAGCCATGATCCCTCCACGCTGCCGCAGCGGACGGAATGCTGACAGCGCGATAGGTTGACGACTTTATCGGTATCCACCCGGGACCCAAGTCCAAGTCAAGAAAATCAAGGAAGCAAGGCTAGTCACCGCCAACCTCGCTCGGTACGGGCCTATGACAGGCGCAGACAGAATGAGGCCAGCTGGCTAGCGCCGTGTGTTAGCTCGAGCGTCCTGCGGTCTTTCTGTGACGGCCAACACCACGGCGCATATTGATACGACAAGGCCGGCGTGCGGACGCACGTCTGTTTCCAAGCCAGCCGGCCGACATGCATCCAGAAGCTCAGAAGACGCTGCCGGGAGTCCAGACACTCTGGCCAGCAGCTGCACACGACACAACGTAAAGAGATGAGACTGGACGGGCTTGGAAATGAGTGGTGGACAGGATATTCCAAGACGTGATTGCTATTGCCTTGGCCTGGCACCCATCCCACCCTATCCTGCAGATTCAAGGGCGCCAATGCTTCGGAACAGGGGTTGTTTCTGGCCAGCAGGGAAGGGCAGGGGGGGCCACGCATGTCGACGTGGTAGAGAGCTCCACCCCCAATCCTCCCCTCCCGAGTCTGCCATGCCCGCAGGCCGCAGCCCCTTGGGTGCCCCCCTCGCAGACCTCATCTCGTTCGCTCGTTTGTGCAAATGCCACCAGAGACATGGCTTCGTCCTGCAACATTAAAACCCGCTGACCCCCTCTGTCCCTGCCCGACGCCTGTTCCTCTTCTTATTCTTTCAGCCCAATCCAAATCATCATTCTTACCCAACTTTTCCTGCATTCTGCACCGCTGATCCTCTGGCAACCCAATAAGCAACAAGCGCAAATTCTGTCTTTCTTCTTCTACCCGCCTACATCCCTCCAACCCTCACACACACCGGACTAAGAAAGAAGATCAAAAAAAAGATCTTCCGCATCTTGCCACCCAAGGATTTTTCCTACTCGACACCATCTCGACCAAAGCATTCCCAAGGAACGTCGCAAACAAGTGATCCGCTGTGTTTGCTGTTTTCTTTGGTATCTTCACACGACACAACTCAGCCGAGTTGAACCACATTGCCCTGGACTTGCATGACTACACGACCCGAGGAATCAATGACTGCCCTTGTTGTTCCACGCCCGGATATGCCTGGCTACAATTCTCTTGATTTGGACGAAGTCCACACACCTTCTAGGTATTGTCTTTTCTTTCTGTGTTCCCAGGGTGGTTCGTTTTTATTTCCTGTAATGTATCGCAAGCCTGTACAGTTTTTTCGCGTCTCTACCAACCAGATCTCTTCGGCCATGGAGGCCCCATTCCAAGGATACGTCGACCCAAGGACTTCCCCCATCGGACTGTTTACTTACCAGGACACTTGCCTGGAGTTGTTTCACAAGGATCATCTTGCTTTCCGCTGGACACAGGAGACCGTTGTGCAGAGGCTTCGCTTCTTGCCCGTCGAACCAGACGCGGTCATCAACAATATATGACACTACATTTTGCGCGGTGAGTATGGCCCAACAAGAGCAGATTGGACGATCAACAACCTGGACATCACAATACACCAAACCTGGATTTTGCCCGGAATCTTATACCACTGGATTGAGAAGGATTGATCTACTGGAACTCATGCACGTCTCGCCCGAGGCCTGAGGCTGACCCCAGCTTCGCATTTGGATGGACTATTCCGGACACCTATCAAACGACAATTTGACAAGCCAAACCGAGTTCACTGCTAGGTTGCTGGCTTAATTCAGGCTTGCACTAGCTAACCGGTCGCCAATGGACTCCGGGATTGTCACAATGTACCGGCCCGTGTCATTGTCGTCTGTTGACGTTTCATGGATTACCATTTGCTTCGATTTACTGCCACGGCTTGAGGATTACCCGGTCTGCCACTGGACACCAGCACTTCCCGGGGGAGAGGACTTAGCTGCTTCATGGGAACTTATTCATCATCGACACCCGGTATTCTTCGACACATGGATTCATCAAACGACCGTCAAAGCCCCGTACAACTACGCATCTCGCACGCACGCAACCAGCTTCGGACAACAACCCATTGAAAGGTCTCCGCATTACAAAAAACGGACTTAAGCCCACAGGCCTATACTCATTTCGACTGGTCATTCCAAGGACTTTGAAAGCATATCTCCACTGTAACAAGGACCCGTAGCTTCACGTCTGAATCGTGGAATTCGACTGGACCGATCCCTTCTACACGGACTCTCCTGGAAAGATCTACATGATCTGCGCTCGCTTGGTCTGTCAACTCAAAACCCTGAACCTGCGAGGTATACAGACATTTGGCTAACATGCTTGCACTACAGGAACAAAGTTGTGTCATGCTGAGACGTATTTTTGTTTTTTTGTTCTGTTTTGAATTGCACGTCTGAATAGTGGGAAACAGCACACTAACCCCACCCTTTCTCAGTGACTATAGCTTCTTCCACGCACAAATGGTGCCTTCAGGAATTTTTTCCTTTTCTTCTCAAACAGGACCATCGGACCCATTGAGTGGTTCGTGGGAAACGACAGGAGAAGGTGCACAGAACTTTCAAGACTTCTCAGACAATGGATCTGCCCACCCGGGAGATTCCGAGGACTATTCTTTCCAAGTTGATGGCCACATCACGCCCAGAGGACAGGGCCAAATTACCGAGGACCTGCAGAGCAAGTGGACTGCTCCCGCACCGGTGGGTGGTGAGCCCATGCGGAGAGGAACTTCGCGCAGCTCAGCCGGGAGCCGCAAGCACCGGATTTCCAAGGTCACATCTCCCAAGGCTCGACCCAGAATGACTGCTGCTGCGTCAGCTCAAGTCTCTGCTCAGCTGTCCACCATGGACATCACAGGTAATGCCACAGTCTACGGATCTCAACCCAGCGCCCAAATTATGGACGTGAACCCTTACTTCCTGGACACGGATACGAGCGCCGTCTCGTCTCAATGGTTTAACTCCATGGAACTTGGCATGATGCCCGATGGCCTGCCTTCAGGCGAACTGAACGTGCACGTCGTGCCTGCTCAGATGCAGCTTGACCCGGACTCGAGCCTGGGTGCACACTCACCTTCTGCCTCCTGGAACTCTTTCAGCCCTGCGGAGTCTCACCTGTCTTCGCCGGCCGGAAGCACCGAAGATTCGTGGCTCACTGCCCCCCTCATGTCTTCGCCGTCACACTCGGAGCACGTCTCCCCCATTATTCAAAGCCAGTCTCCAAGGTATGTTCCTCAGATTAGCTGCTCTAGCCTAGAGTCAGCCTCTGACGCGACACTTTTGTACAGCGCCAACGGGAAGTTCATGACCGACGAGCTCGCTGGAAGCGTCCTCACCATTGTCGGCGATGCCGCGCTCCCCCCCGCTTTCCCTAACCGTCGGCCTACCAATGAGGGCGACACTGCCCGGGACCACCCCCTGTACAAGAATGCGACCCCGAAAGCCGATGGCTTGTTCCACTGCCCATGGTCCGGAGACGCCAGCTGCAACCACAAACCCGAGAAGCTCAAGTGCAACTACGAGTAAGTCGCCTTTCGTCCTCGGCCAATCCCCTCCCGCGCGACTAACTTTCCCCTCCTTGTGCAGCAAGTTCGTGGACTCCCACTTGAAGCCCTACCGTTGTAAGATTGACTCGTGCGAGAACGCCCGTTTCTCCTCGACTGCCTGCCTGCTTCGCCACGAGCGAGAGGCTCATGCTATGCACGGCCACGGCGACAAGCCCTTCCTGTGCTCCTATGAGGGATGCGACCGCGCCATGCCCGGCAACGGATTCCCCCGTCAATGGAACCTCAAAGATCACATGCGCCGTGTTCACAATGACAACGGCATCCCTGGATCCCCTACCAGCACTAGCAACGGCCAGCAGAGCTCCAAGGGCCGCAAGCGCAAGGATGCGCCCAAGGCCGCCGTCATCGGACCCGCACCGCCTTCCCGCAAGGTCACTGCCAAGGCGGCCGTTGTGGAGGCTGCTGTCAAGGAGGAGCTGTCGTCCAAGCCTCTCATCGAGGAGTGGATGTCCCACCGCCAGGCTCTGGAGAACATTGTTCGTGACATCACCCAGCCTGAGGACATGAAGAACTTGCAGCTCGTCAAGGATGCCCACAACCTGTTGTCCGCCATGGGCAAGATCGCGCACAACCTGAACTCTGCTCAACCCATGGACTCCAAGGTGCCCTTCCATCGGAACTTTGTCCAGGCTGGATGAAAAAATTACTTTGGTCCGTAAAAGCCCCCTTTTCACCGTGGATAAAAAAGAATCCCACTGACCCGTCCTCGATTGCAGAACTTTGACTAGTCCAGTCACAGATTACTACCAGCTCTCAATGCAAGCGCATTGAGTTATTCGACTACGGCTCGATCCCCTAAATTGTGGACGTTGTATGTCGCCGAGGAACCATCATGCTATCACCAGGGACTCGTGTGTTGCGGAGAGCTTCTTTCACTGAAGAAATCCAAACTTCCGGATGGACTCTTTCTGCTTGCCGCCCGGCAACGGATACCCCAGATTGAAGCCACGGACACCGCTAGGAGTACTCGAGAGCCAGCAAATGCGCTCTAGCGAAGGCCGAGCCGCGGCCAGGTGGAGGGAGGTGTGATACGGGAAAGGCATACTGTTTTGATTTACGTGCGATGGAATTTTTAGAAGAGGGTACATGTAAGAGCTCACGCTCGACACAACAGAACTTGTATTTTGTTTTTTAGTTGGGAGAAGACCCTCACAGCGCGAGGCTCAGCCACGTTGTGGCAAGTTACAGACTCGAGATGGACCAACAGCCACTGGAACTAGATTATTTGAGCAAACCCGGGGACGACGATGGCAAATAGCTAGACAATGGAGAAAATGGTACTGGACTCTCTGGCCCCTCGTGTTGCCTTGCGGACTGCATTGCTCCTCAGAACCTAAATGACGGCTGGCGAGAGAACGTCGAAGGTTGGGCATCCCAGCCGCAACCCAAGAGTCATACCGGAGGGTCGTAGCCTATGTAACGGAATCATCCTAGTTCCTGGTCAATGTCTCTCTTGACGCTATATATGCGGGTGACCGAGGGAGTACTTTTGTATGTTGTGCAGCAAGGTTCATGAAGTATTAGCTAGGTTTCGCGAACTCTGATCTTGGCTTCATCCAGTAAGTCTGGACTTTACTTGCTGCCTGTTGGGCTCTCCTTCTGCCCCGTCCTCTCTCCCTCGGTCTTCGTTCCTCCCTCGTATTTCAAGGTGGTGCTCGGGCGTGGAAGAAGACTTGTGGGCAATATCTCGACTCTCTTCCGGCATCCAGGAACATGACCTGGAGAATAGCATGGGGTCGAAGGTGGGACTTCGAGCCTCTGTTGTAACCCCCCCCCCCCCCCCCCCCCCCCCCCCACAAACCCCCCCCCCCACCCCCCCCCCCCCCCCCCCCCCCCCCCCCCCCCCCCCCCCCCCCCCCCCCCCCCCCACCCCCCACCCCCCTCCCTCCACCACCCCCCCCCCCTTCCCCCCCCCCCCTCCTCCCCCCCCCCCCCCGCCCCGCGCCATCGATCGCTCCCAGCCCCCTCGCCTCGCCCGTGTACCACCGTTTGAGATTCCAAAACGTCATTCCTTCCAGGCTAACCGGTTGTTTTCCCCGATTGAACAGGCGGCTGCGGCCAAGCCTTCA